CATTCGAAGAGAAGCTAAGCTCCCATCCTCTCGACCTCACCAGACCGCCACACAGCCCAAGGAGCTTGTCGAACCCGATCCGAAGCTCAGGGTAGCTCCCATCTTCGCGTAATACTCTTCCACTGCATCTTTCCTTCCTCCAGGCCGAGCCCGCCACCCCTCTCTCCTACTCATCGAACAAACGACAATGCCAATGCGAGCTTCGAGTTGACGGTACATCCAGCACAATGACGGACGCTTCCGATCCCGATCGCGATGGTCCTACCGCTGCGCAAAAAGGCAAAGGGCCTCAGACGGCCGAGGCAGTGACTGCGCCGGGGGAATTGGCGGCGAACAAGTCCGAGAAGGAGTTGAAGAAGGATGGTGACGGCACGGACAACAAAGAGAAGGAAGAGGATGATGAAGAAGACGAGGAAGAGGACGACGATGATGACGAAGAAGACGACGACGACGACGATGAAGACGATGAAGACGACGAAGATGAAGACGATGACGAGGAGCCCCGGCTGAAGTACGCCAGGCTCACTCAACACCTGGGGCCCATTTACCGCAATGGTGATGCGACCAGCGCGTTCCTCGTCGCGGGTGACAAGATGGTAAGGTCGCTTGTCAGGTGCAACTCTATACGGAAACTGACTGTCAATAGATCATAGGAACGCATAACGGCAACATCCATGTCATTCAACTGCCCATGTTCCAATCTCTTCGCGTATACCATGCCCATTCCGCCTCCATCACCAGCATCTCCATTTCCCCGAATCCGCCTCCCTTACCGACAGCAAGATCAGAAGCAGTGCAGAGACTCGCTGCAGAAGCTGCCGAAAGCGTCGCAAAACAACGACCACCCTCCCGCCAGTCGGGCGCTTCCCCTGCCGCAGCCTCGAGAAGGCCTAAGGATCCTTCTCCCGTCTCAAACACACCCTCCAATAACGTCCACATCGCTACATCATCCATGGACGGCAATGTCTGCGTCTTTTCCCTCGTAGATACTAAGGACGTTCAGCTGCGAAACTTTGCGCGCCCTGTACAAGCCGTGTCACTCTCCCCTGATTACAAAAATGATCGGACGTACCTCTCGGGTGGTCTCGCTGGACAACTTATCCTAACATCCGGAGGCCAGCCGGGTCGAAGTACCTCGACGACCGTTGGAACGGCAGCTGCCACCGCTTCTGGCTGGCTTGGTAGCATGGGCCTGGGTACCAACACGGGCAAGGACACAATTTTGCACTCTGGTGAAGGCACAATCAATAATATCAAGTGGTCACTGTCCGGAAAGTACGTAGTCTGGCTAAACGAGCACGGCGTCAAAATCATGCGGTCAAAGTTGCACCTAGAGAGTGCCGACGCTGACGACGCCTGGAAACGCATCGGTCACGTAGATCGCCCTCAAACAGATGAGTGGGAGACCATGGCAAGCGTCTGGAAAGGACGTGTAGAGTGGATTGACGAGCAAGCCGTCGAGACCGAAGATGGGGAAGCCGGGCGCAAAGACGTTGGCGCAACGCTGGCATCCGAGGGCTCAACGCAACAAGGAACCTCAAGTACCAAGAAGATCGAAAGGCTCCTGGTTGGCTGGGGAGGCACGATCTGGATCATCCACGTCCACCCTGGCAGTGTTGGTACTGGTAAGCATGGCGAAAAGTCGATCGGACGCGCCGAAATCGCCAAACAGTACGTACATGCCCCATGCTCTGCGTAGTGACTCGTCGCTAACACTTTCGCAGCCTTCGTATGGATTGCATCATTTCTGGAATTTCGTTATATACCCAAAATCTTCTCCTTGTACTAGCATATGTATTACCGGATGACGACGAAGACGACGAGGATGAGAAGGCTGCCAAGGGTCACAAGTCGAAGCTGTCAACAGCATCCGCGAGCAGCGAGCCATCTGGTGGAATACGGCACCGCCAGAACAATCTACCGCCAGAACTTCGATTGATCGACCTGAGCTCCCAAGCCGAAGTCGATAAAGATGGCCTTAGCGTGAGCAGATATGAGAGACTTTCATCAGGTGACTACCATCTTGGGGTTCTTCCTGCACAAAACGCAGCCTCGGCGGTGGCTTCTTCTAAGGGTGCCTTGGAAGCCATCACTGGGTTTGGCTCAGATATGTGGAATGCCGCCATCAATCCTAGGACATTGTTTAGCTCTGGTGCAAGTATCAGGAGTGGACACAGCGGAGACGGTGTCTCTAGCACGCAAGTTCCAAGTTCGGTCGGTGGCCCTCGAAGGTCAGGGACGCCTACAGTCCATCCCAACCTCATCAAGCCTGGTGTCAAGATCTTCATTCACAGCCCGTTCGATTTCATTCTCGGAACGAAGAGAGACCTCGGCGACCACTTGGGCTGGCTGCTGGAGCACCAGGATTATCAGAAAGCATGGGAATTACTTGACGAGCATCCCGAGATCATGGCTGCACCACCAGAGAACCTTCACGAGCTTGTCCCAACAACGCCAGACAGAAAGCAAAGTAGCCAGGAGGACTTTGACGACGCCTCGTCAGTCATGGGATCTACGGGCCTGGCAAGACACCCTAATTCCTCGGCGCAGAGGGAGAAGAGACGCATTGGCGAGCTCTGGATCCGGGAGTTAATCGAGGCAGGTAGTTGGGCCGAAGCCGGGAAAGTCTGCAGGAGAGTCCTCGGCTCCCCCGATAGATGGGAGAAATGGGTTTGGACATTTGCTGGCGCGGACAAGTTTGATGAAATCACGGACTACATCCCTTCCGAGCCGATGTACCCGCCTATTCCAGGCACAATCTACGAAGTCGTCTTGAATCACTACATTCAGGCAGACAAGCTGAGATTCAGAGAACTACTAGACCGCTGGTCGCCCGATCTCTTCGACATCAAGACGGTCACCACAGCCTTGGACAATCAGCTCAAGTACCGCGATGTGCGAGAGGACAGCATTGAGGGGGGCGAGAAGGGTCGCGACTGGAAGATCGTGATGGAATCCTTGGCACGTTTGCACGAGGCCAATGGACGCTTCCGGGAATCGCTCAAATGCCACATCAAGCTTCAAGATGCAGACTCTGCGTTCCGCCTGATTCGCGATAACCATCTCGCCGAAGCAGTGACTGACGACATTCCCGGCTTCATCGGATTGCGCGTGCCGAACAAAAAGCTTGGTACCATGGGACCAGATGAGCTCGAAGCCGCCACCTCGGAGGCCATCACTCTCCTCGTTGACGAAGCACAGCATGGTCTCGTCAAGCCTTCCGTGGTTGTATCGCAGCTCGAGGAGAAGGAACTCAATCTCTATCTATTCTTCTACCTGCGCGGTTTGTACAAGGGTGAGGGTATTGAAGAGCATTCCGGAGAGACTCGCGACAGGCTATTGATGGACAGCCAATCCCAAGTTAACGAATTTGCGGACCTGGCCGTTCAACTATTCGCCAAGTACGATCGGGATCTTTTGATGAGCTTCTTGAAATCGTCGACATCGTACAAATTCGAGAAGGTGAGTGATCTTTTCTTGACCATCATTGATGGCGATGCTTTGGTATTGCCGAGCTCTATAGAGTTTGCAAAACTAACGACCGCAGGCTGTTCAAGAGTGCGAAAAGTACAGGTACGACGACGAGCTAGTACATTTGTACTCCAAGACGGGCGAGATGAAACGAGCCCTGTATCTCATCATCGATCGACTGAAGGATGTCAAGAAGGCGATTGATTTTGCGAAGCAACAAGACGACCCTGATCTCTGGGATGATTTACTGAACTACAGCATGGACAAGCCTAGCTTCATCCGCGGCCTTCTTGAAGAGGTCGGAACAGCCATCAATCCCATCAAGCTCGTCAGGCGGATTCCCGAAGGACTCGAAATCGAAGGCCTGAGAGAGGGCTTGAAACACATAATGAAGGAACACGAGATTCAATACAGTATCAGTTCGGGTGTTGCGCGGGTGCTCCGAAGCGAGGTCGCGGCTGCCCAGAACGACCTGCGCAGTGGGCAGCGAAAGGGAATCAAGTTTGAAGTCGTCGTTCAATCAACGGATCATGTCGACGTCAAGGTGAGAGATGTCGTACATCCGCCAGTCAGTGCGGAGGAGGTGGAAGAGAGTTTCTTCAAAGCACCAAAGGCGGTGGAACAACCGGGCCACACACATCAGCCGCCGAAGCCAGGCCACTGCGCTCAGTGCCTCGAGTCCTTCACAGAGTACGAGATGGAAACTTTGGTCGGTTTTGCCTGCGGGCATGTCTTCCACCAGTCCCATCTCATGGAGATGCTTTACCCTGGTAAGCGACAAGAGGCCGACTTTGGGCTGGCTAGCGAGGAGTCGATCCGGAGCGGGTACCGCGTTGGCTCAAAGGTTACGCATGCGCGCTTGCTCAAGGACCGAGTAAGGGAGGGTTGCCCTGTCTGTACCCATGGGACGGAAGTACCGGTGTAGAGGAGGTTGTGATATCCAGCGACGAAATGCATTTGGTGACGGCGGTGTAAGTTAGATCCCTTTCAACTTCTGAACAATCTTGCTGACTATAATAGTACGTACAACAGCTTACTATGACCCGGTACCGCTGGATCCCATTCGACGCGAACGACTGCTTGCAACGTCAACTCACTTTTCCCTCGTCTTGATTGCCAACATAGATGAGAGTGTGGCAGGAGATCACAGTCAAGGGAAAATCAGGCTGTATGACTGAAGAAACAGTTACTGCCCTGTAGAAATAATCGGGGCACAACCCGGGCTTCAACCTATCCTGATCAATCAGACATGCAGATGAGACGCCTCCGATATCCAAAGTGCCCGTTCCACGTGTTGTCACCGCAACCAATGATTTTACCGCTGCGGTTGCTGCGCCGCAGTTCATCGCGACGACGATTGCCCCTCTCCGCACCTTGCCTTCAATTTTCCCCTTCCAGGAAAACTTCTCATACTACTCAACTAGGCCAGTCCTCAGCTCTTCCGTCCATAGTGGCCGACTAGGCTTCATCAGCATCCCGATCGACCTCTATCCGCATCTCACATCGGCTCATGTCGATTCGCACTGATCATGTCGGGGGTCGAGGCCATCAGCATGGCCTGCAACGTCATGACGATCATCAGCTTCAGCTTGGAGACCATCAAGCTTTACCGCAGCATATACGAGGCCGGCAGCTCAGATCCCGAGCTCGCCAAGAAAGCTGAGCACATTCGAGAGACATCCGACGATGTGGCACGGCTGCTACATGAGCAACAGCAGCTGGATCCAGCGCAGCGAGTGATGACCTCGGACGCAGAGAAACGGCTCCGAGACATCGCTGCCAAGTGTCTTCAGTATTCCAAGGACATCGAGCAAGAGATTGCATCAACGTCTCCCAGGAAGTCCGGCATTCCCCGGGCGTTGAGGTCTACGGTGAAGGCCATTTGGCGGAAGCCCCATCTTGATCAGCTCAAAAGCCATTCCGTGGAATCGACATTCGGAGCTTCTTCGGGTCGTCACCTTCTAGCCAATAGGGTAAGATGGGTGAGTCTCGCTGCTTTTGCTCACCTTCCGCGATGACCTAGGTGAGGCCAGGGTGAGGCCCGGGTGAGGCCGGGTTAAGGCCAGGGTAAGTCCAAGATAGGACAGAATTGATTGGCATGGTCGGAATCGCCGAAATGAGGCTCCATGGGATTAAAACACGGGATCAAAATATAGGCTTAATAGAGCAGAGCAATCCTAATAGAGTAACGTACTACGACACCCCCATAACACAGCTCAGTATTAAATCGTTAATATATTTCGCGATCCGAGTTTTAACTAAGGACCTTATTATAAAGCTAGCGGATAACTCTTGTGGGTAATATAATTAGACCTTTGTAATACTTATATCGCCCGGGGGAACTCGAACAACGTATAAAACACGTCTTAACGAGAAGGAATCCTGCTCTTTCTCTCCCTTTAACGTACATGATAAGCGAGTGGGCCAGACAAGCGAGTGGGCCACCCAACCACGACCATATGACATGAAGGAGCAAATATCAACACCCACCTCATGGATTCAATCCAAACTACTCAGAGTCCTCTTCCTCAGACATTTCCTCATTGAATCGACATATTCGCGCATTATGACCAGTGTTCCCGCAGACGCCACATCGTCGTTGGCCCGTCTCAGTCCTCGGTCGGCAACCACTACTCCGGCGCGTTTCCTCCTCCACCTAGGCTATAGCCTCTCTCTGCGACTAAAGGTCCTCTCCCTCAGCTATAGTGAGGCTTCCTCCTTGTCGGAGACGGTTTTTCTTAGCTCTCCGGCGTCGACTAAGTAGGTTATTCTCCTCTCGAAGGATCTGGTTCTCGGATCTTAATAAGGCGATCTGGTGCATAAATCCACGAGCCCCCTTAGATAGATAACGTGGTTCATCAGTCAGCCGGCCGGACCAGTCAGCCGGACGTTTTTTCCCACGTACACAACAACATCTAGTATTTCTCAACCACAACGCATTAAATCAACTATTAGTTGTCGCTATCAGAATCTCCTGAGGGTTCGACATCTTTGGAACAGGTTCGCGCGTTATGCCCAGTCTCACCACACATACCACAGCGTCTCCGAGCTGGCTGGGCTCTCTTTGATGGACCCCCCTCGTCGTCCTCTTGAGGCGCTGGACGTTTACCTTTTTGTTTCTCTTCCAGCAAATCCTGAGATTCCTCTATACTAAGTGCCCCTCCAAGCTGCACACGTGACCTTTTGGCCCTCCGACGCTTAGCAAGTGCTACATTCGCATCCTCAAGGGTACGAAGCCGATCAGTCAAAATAGTGATTGAGTGCGCCATTGCCTGCGCACCCTTTGACAATTGCTCAACTGCAGCAATAATTGGTGTCGGTGAGCTTCCTTGATGAGCAGAGATGCGACTTTTGATAAAGTTGGACTGCGAGACGGTTTGTTGTGGGTTAGAGGGCGTTTGCGACTGCCAAGGTGGTGGTGTTGAAGGGTTGGCTATAGGAGGTGTAGGCGTCCGTAAATGCACATCAAGCTTTTTGATGACATGCTCTGGGTCCCATGGTGAAATTCCAGCGCCTTGGAAAGCAGACCTGATGTTTTCCTCATTAAAAACCTTATTATGGGCCTGGTGGAAGGCAATAAAGAACTCAGACTTGGTGATGTGATTTATGGAGGCTCTGATGAATAGGTTGATTTCATCACCGTATGCGCGTTTCAAAGGCGAATAAAGGGCAATATCCAATGGCTGTAGTAGAAGCGATGAATGTGCAGGCATACTGGCCGTTATAATATTGTTCTGCTTGCAGTAATCGTCGAATTCGGCCGATAAATGGCTCTCATGGCCGTCGACAATGAGCATCCGGTAGACGCCCTTCGTTTGGTTCTTAGTATGTTTGTCGAAGTGTTTAATCCAGTCAAGACCCGTCTGATTATCCGTCCATCCATTAGCCGTGGGTTTGATGACCCAGTTGCCCGGAAAACCTGATTCCGTGGTCCAACTGGCAAGGTGATATGCGCCCTTGATGATCACGAACGGAGGGATGCACCACCCGCCCGAATTGATACATTCAATGACTGTAGCCCATTCACGATTGCCAGGCTGGACAGACTTTGCTTTGCCGCGTCGATCGGCGCGTGTTACCACCATTGACGCGGTGATCATGCCCATCATGAAGCCAGTTTCGTCAAAATTGTATAGGTCCCCCTCTTGGATGCCATACTTGGCCATCATGTTGCGTAATAGCGCAAACCACTTTGATATAACCTGAGGATCTTCTTGAAGAGCCCTTTGATAATCGTATGGACGATTAAACTTGGTTTTCAGAGCAGGCTGCGAGTCCACAAACCGCCTGGCCCATCGCTTGCCAACAGGCTTGCCATTACGGGCTCGCAGCAGGAGATTGGCCATATCTTCCACACCGCTAAGGCGCAAAGGAAATCCTCTGGAATCCTGTTCAATAACGTATTGGAGAAGTGTTTTCTCTTCGATCGGATCGAGTTTACGTCGTTGGGGTTGAGCTTGTTCGCGTCGCGGTCGGTTGTTCATTCTATCGGCTAAGGTGCTCTTCGGGATACTGTAGGTCTTTGCGGCACGCGAAATGCTCAAGTTACCACCTGCAGCGCGCGTCGATCGGATCGCTTCAATTGCGAGAATGACTTTGTCTTCTTGGGTGTAGATTGGCATTATGGTTGTTGAGATTTTACGCGTCAAAGGTTTAAGTGGTTTGGACATAAGTGTGTTTAGAAAAAACGTCCGGCTGACTGGTCCGGCCGGCTGACTGATGAACCACGTTATAAGTTAACCTAAATTCGGGTTCTTTTATATATATATTTAAGGTCCGTTTGAGTAAGTAAACCTCGCATAATACTATCGAGTTCTTTATTAGTAAAATCAAACTTTATAACGTAAATATTCTTAACGTTAATCAATTTTTACTCTTTATATACTAACTTACCCTTCTAAGCCATTCTAGGATTTCAGTTCTAGAGAGCGTAGTTGCTTATAATTAGACTTATTATATAAATTTCGGACCTATTATCTTTGGAGATAATTATAATAGTATATCTTATAGTTGAAGCCGGTAAAAAACTACTTAGCTATAACTAGTTGATATTATATCGAGTATAGGAAATCCGTTTTAACGAACTCGACTGTTACGACCCAACATGAAGACCAGGGCGTGCCCCGCTGACGCCTAGCGGCTACGGCGCATCATATATGCAGGACGGGACGGAACATTGGGGAAACCCCAGGAACGGAAGAACTATGGTACAAGTCACGTGATGATAAGAGATATGATAAGGGATAAGGATATGTTGGATATGCGACATATCCAACCGAGTCAAGGATATGTTGGATATGCGACATATCCAACCGAGTCAAGGATATGTTGGATATTCGGCATATCCAACATATCCAGACAAAGTGGACTGTACAGCACTGTTCAGTTAGGATCGGACTTGTATATAAGGATGGACTCGAGCTGGGCTCTAGGACAGACTTTCCATAGCTCTTCAGCAATTAACTTCGTATCAGGATTAACATCCGCTTTCAGCTACTACCTTGACAAGACTACGATTGATCACCGAAGCCTTACCTACCCTTACGATTGACAGACATAGCTTCCCTGAAGCTATCCCCGACTACGATTACTGTTACCAGTTCCGCAGCCTCAACTTCTGCAAACTACCCCTACGACTAGCTGGCCGTAACATCGACCTTTATGTTACGAGCAGGTCAAGGCAACCAACTGTGGCACAAAGCAAAAGCTTCGATAATGATGACTCCGCGAAATTTTCCCTTGTTCTGCATTATATAGCTACGCCATGACAGGGCCAACTGTTTAGTGTTACGGCCAGCTAGTCGTAGGGGTAGTTTGCAGAAGTTGAGGCTGCGGAACTGGTAACAGTAATCGTAGTCGGGGATAGCTTCAGGGAAGCTATGTCTGTCAATCGTAAGGGTAGGTAAGGCTTCGGTGATCAATCGTAGTCTTGTCAAGGTAGTAGCTGAAAGCGGATGTTAATCCTGATACGAAGTTAATTGCTGAAGAGCTATGGAAAGTCTGTCCTAGAGCCCAGCTCGAGTCCATCCTTATATACAAGTCCGATCCTAACTGAACAGTGCTGTACAGTCCACTTTGTCTGGATATGTTGGATATGCCGAATATCCAACATATCCTTGACTCGGTTGGATATGTCGCATATCCAACATATCCTTGACTCGGTTGGATATGTCGCATATCCAACATATCCTTATCCCTTATCATATCTCTTATCATCACGTGACTTGTACCATAGTTCTTCCGTTCCTGGGGTTTCCCCAATGTTCCGTCCCGTCCTGCATATATGATGCGCCGTAGCCGCTAGGCGTCAGCGGGGCACGCCCTGGTCTTCATGTTGGGTCGTAACATTTAGGCCGTAACATATAATATATAATAAGGTAGTATACTAATATAGTTATTATCAATAGAAAGGCATAAAGAAAATATCTTTTAGCCGAAGATACCTCTATTTATATACTACGATGACCTCTATACGGCGTCTTTAGCCACTGAATAGCCGATAATTCCAGCTTTGCTCACCTTGCTCTCCCGCCTCACCCTAGGTGAGCCACTTTCACACTCGCTTACCTCCAGACTCGCCTTTAAAGCAGCGCGTGTAGGTGAGCCTCGAGAGAGCTTTGAATGTTGATTCCATGTAATGAGGCGCCATCTTCAAGCATCACAAAGCACAATGAATACCGCTGTCAATGTCCAAGTTCTTGAACAGTGCATTGCCTCGGGCCAGCTGAGTCGCGAGATTTACGACAGGCTTGATGCTGAAGAGCGGAGCTTCATCGCAAATTATGAGAAACGGTCAGAGGCTATTGAAGACCTCATCAAACAGCTACATGGTCACATCACGAAAGAACATGCCACTACTCGCGAGACTATTACGAACACGATTGGCATGATGGAAACCAACGATCGTCAGCGGCAGGCCCGTGAAAACTTGCTCGAAAGCTTGAAATACCCCCGGATGAACGAGAGCAAGAATACTATACATGAAAAGCACGACGGCACATTTGAATGGGTATTCGAAGGACTGGATTCTAGTGAATACTCAACTTCTGACTCGGAGCTCCACGATCATAGCGACTCTGAGACCACCAGCGATACGGATGATCCTGAATGTTGGCTGAGACGCCAGAGACGCGAGAAAGTTGCAGAAGCCAGGCGAAATCAAACAAACGCCGATTTGCTAGGATGGCTCCAGGGAGATATATCTGGCACGTTCTGGATCAGCGGGAAACCCGGATCTGGGAAGAGCACATTTGTCAAGTCCATCATGCCCGACAAGCAAACACTGATTTCTCTGAGTAAATGGCGTTCAAGACCGGAGATAATCACACATTTTTTCTGGAAACCTGGGACACTCCTTCAACAGAACTTTCAAGGTCTGCTCCGTTCCTTTCTCCACCAAGTTCTGAGAATAGACGTCGATGTTTGTGCCCAGTTTCTGCGCAAGACGCCTGGCCTGAGGCGTAAGCACGATGAGACTGACTGGGACATGAAGGAGTTAAAACGACATCTCCTCTTGGCGCTTCACTCCAGTAACCGCTCCTACCTCATTATCTTGGATGGACTGGACGAGATGGCTAAAACCATACCGAGGACTGGAAGAGCTTTTCGACTTCCTGGACGAATTGATGAAAGACGAGCGGGCAAAACTCTGCCTTTCAAGTCGCCCCGAAAGAATTCTCTTGGACAGGTTCTCTTCTTATCAACGCTTACGAATGCACGATGTGAACTTCGAAAATATCTCCGATTTCACTATGAATTCCCTCAATGGCATGAGCCCTAAGCCTCATGATCGAACGCGGTATTTGATCGCAAATCAAATCTTAAAGAAGGCAGATGGCGTCTTCTTTTGGGTCCATCTAGTGCTCCAGAACGTCAAAAACGGAGTTGAAGAGTTTGACGAAGACTGGGACGCTGTGTACCAACGTATCCTTGAGCTACCACCGAAACTCACGGAGCTGTACAAAGACATGTGGTCGAGGTTAGATCAAAGGAAGGAAAACTACATCGAAATGGCAGCTCTTTACTTCAACATTACGCGTTGGGCTGACACCGGTTTGATCGCTAAGGGTTGGGCTGAAAAAGGATTGACCCTTGCCTGTATTGCCGTAGCCACGGACAACGCCATCCTGGAGAGCTTCACTGAGCGGGATGAGTCTACGCCAATGGATATAGTAAAGAGATACAATCATATGCATAGGACTCTTTTTTCGATTTGTGCTGGATTATTGGAGACTCAAAGCTCCTTCTCAGATTTGTTTCCACACCCAAGTAAATTGGGCAATCGCGACGATCGGGGCAATTTGAGCCTCCTCCAAGAAGACGACGTCAGAAATCTGTATCTTGCAATAGGAAAATGGGACTCGGACGCGGCATCTGTCAGATTTACACACAGAACTGCGATAGACTTTCTTGACAGCGTCGAAGGACAAAAGCTGTTCGGAAACTACACGACAAGCGATGGAACAATTCACTCTAGAATCACCAACGCCATGATAATCCTTGAATGTATGCCCTACCCTCAGGAACACGGACGGTCCGAAATCAAAAGAGTCCTTAGGGCGCTTGGGCGTGAGACTCCGAGACTCCGCCGTGTTCGGATCGGGTTTATGACTTGTTTTGTCGCGCTCATCGGCAAGCTCACATGATCGTCGGCTTATCAACGGCACCTCCATCTTTCAGCAGCCATAACTATTTCATATTCCTCCGTTAAATACATCATCATCATCATCATCATCATTATTTCATATTCCTCGCTTCAAATTATGTGTATTATGAATACGTTATTACGCGGGTCCTTCAGCTTGAGGGAGATGACTGTGCTACGGCAACGGCTGCCGCTCTCGCGGGCGCAAGCGACTGTAACTTTGCGCATAAAGATGAGGAGCATGAATCTGAAAGATAATTATCGGTTCAGTCAAAGGTGCATACATTACCTCCACCCAGGACAAGCCATGTCGCAGATATCAGGCTTGGACGATTCCAGTCAACCTTTCATCGCATGGCGTTGTTTTCTACTGAGCAAGTTGTCAGATGCGCTTAATGGGGAACTACGAAGGGAGGAAGACGCATTGACGGTAATAGAGTCTTTCATATCAGCTGGTGTTCTGCAGCGACAGCCACCGCCGAGATATCTGGTCCTGGCTGAAGAATTGCAATTGTTGACTATACCGAGTCACCGGCAAGTCGCTGAATATGGGCCTGGCAACTTCACTCAATTCAGTGAATCTCTCGATGCGAAACTGTTGTTTGAAGTTGACGACACTTTTCTTTTGCAACAGATGTGCAATCGGATGTCTAAGACATCAGAATCCGTCATCTCCGTTCTCCAGGGCGCGGAGCATGCCATGGTGCGCCCAGTTTTGGCACGGAATGACAGCTGCGGGGGGGTAACCCCAGACTTTTTCACTTGCACCTTGAAGAATCAAGCGGACGAGGAAGAGTTTGTGTACTGGGCCCTTGAAGAGTTCATGTTCCCAGCAGAGGGGGAAGTCACGACATTTCCAGAAGGTGCACCTGATTGCTTGGAATTGGTATATCGAGGAGAATATGGGGACTATTTCGAGGCTCTGGAAGATGTTGGATGTCCGCTGCCGGATGTTAATCGAAAACATGCGTGCTGGAATTTTTATTAAATGGGAGGCCGGGCCACAGTGGCGAAGCCCGAGTGTGGCTGCAGAAGCTGCCCATAATGTATGATAGGGGCCTGACGCCTACCTCTACATGGTTGACTTTTGAGTTCAGAAAGAAACCGCCGTTTGTCAGTTGGTGGACAGAGAGCACGGGCCAGCCGGCAGATCATCTATCTCACTCTCCCCCGACCCCCACACCGTTCCAAGAGCACGCCCCCGTTTCCCCTGGTGGTGCTGCCGCCACGGCCCACGACACGTCACTCCTCCAACCTCGGCCTGGAAGTGCATCGCGGTAACCTCTCCTCCCCAACTCATGCACTCCGCGACGTATGCAAAGGGGAAACGATATGGCGTACTGGGATACCTACCGGAGCAGGGCTCAAGGGAGGCTGAGTTGTGAGTTGTTCACCCTGTACTGTCTTTCATTACCCTAGCCCCCCGTCCCCTACAATGCCATGCCTTCAGGTGACAGCAGATTGACAAGTTCAATCGGAGACAAACGCTGACTGAGTTTTTGGAATAGATGGGAGCTGAATAGAAACCAATCTCCCCTCCTGCGCCTCCCACCAGAGATACGCAACAAAATCTACCGTCTCCTCCTTTCCAACATGGGCATCCACGTCCTCCACGACCCGAAAACGGGATCCTTCCACTGCCTCGCCCTCCGAGCCGGCGCGAACCCCTGGACTTGTGTCCCCACGACCACGTCCCCGACGAGGCATATACTAGAACCAGAAAGAGATACCCCCAAGACCAAGAAGAAGAGATCACGACCGGTCCTCGGACGGGGACTGACGCTGCTGGTCCTCGTCTGCAGACAACTCTACCACGAGACGGAGCTTATACCCTACCGCGAGTGTGCGTGGAGTTGGGCGACGCCTGGGTTGATGGAGCGGTATTTGCTTACGGAGAGGCGGATGGGGATTGCGCAGAGGAGGGTGTTGAGGGAGGTTTGTGTTCGGGGGATTCAGGGGTTTGGAAATTGTAGTCGGAGGGTTCGGGGGGTTCTGGGGGGGTTGGAGGTTGTTTGGTTCTGGGAGGTGACGGGTGGCAGCGGTAGCACGGGGGAAGGAAAGTGGAGAGAGAGGGAGTGTGGAGGGTGGGTTTGTGAGATTGTTGAGAGGGGGAGGGTTGAGGTTGGTGTTGGGAGGCCGAATTGAGGGTCTTGACGATGGTGATGGCGGCGCTCGATGGCTCGGGAGGGTTGAGGCGAGAATAAATTGAGGGCATCGTGAGCTTGTGCTCTGCGGCGTCAAAGAGACATGAGGCTATGAGGCTGATGATACTGGGCACACAAGAGGGCACCATACTTTGATGATACAAGGGGTAGACTACCACAATGAATTTTGAGCCATTAAAGTGTCCCCTCATTACGGGAACGACATTAAACCAATTTGATGCCCCCTTATCTCTGTCGCTGAGCGCCGACAATGGTCTCTACCATCTCCATGAAGCCTGACTTCGTCCATATCGACGCTTCTTACCTGCGATTCATAGAGCGGTAAATAACCCCCCAAACCGCAGCGGAATTTGACGCAACTAGAACAAGCAGGAACCTTCTGGGTCAACTCCGGCCACCTACGGAGCTAAAGGCCGGTGGTGCACCGAAATTTTCGGGGCCCTCGGCCCCGTAGACCCACACCGGGCCAACCCCAGTTGAACGACACACCAAGCTCAGCACACTACAAGGGAATCCATCGCCGCAGGAACGAAAGAATTTTCACATGGAGAGGAACGTAAGTGGAAGGAGCGAGATTATGGTGGGTTGTTCTAGGTGCTTTGGTAGGTGCTTTAGGGAACTTGAATGGGGGGCGGAATAAGGGTTTCTTTGGTGTTTGTTGGCGCGCGGTGGGCGATGTGGAATGTTTTGGTGATGCTGCGATGCCGGGATGGTTCTATATGTAGATACTTGATGCTGAAAGCTTGGAGATGTTGATTTGATTAGGTACTCTGTGAGAGGACGGTCTATTGATGACGATGTTGATTGAACCTCTATCCGCCGTCTACACGGAAGCTAGATTCTGGCGGCTGGCTCTGCGTGATGGGCGCAGCTTGAATGGGGATCGCAACAAGGGCGTCTTTGGTTTTTTGACGCGCGGTGAGCGCTGTTTTCCTGATCCTTCGACAGCTGTGGATTATTGGAAGTGATGCTGGAGCCTTTTAATATTCAGCCATGGGTCTCTCCATCTACGAATTGCTTTATTGCCTGAAGCTCTAGAGTGGTTATATTTTTGCTCACGAGTCCTGCGTCAATACCGCGATGGCTCTGTTGGATCTAGATAATGCTGAAGTTCTGCGGTACTGATCGTTGGATATCTTCATTCATTGTCTTCTTCGTATGTGGTGTTGAATCTCAATAACGGCGATGGTCCTGCTTGTGACTCCAGCCTCAAGGCCGCAAGCTGTACTGCGAGGCGTCTCATTCTCATCGCTTTAGATACGACGAAATGAGACTGCATTTGGCGATACATCATACGATTAACCGAGCGAACTACAATCAAGTTAGGGGAGCCCTTGAATGATGGCGACGTCGCTTGAAATTACAACATTTCAACTGCGAATCCAGCAGCGCGTTACATCGTAGCAACGGCGTGACGGCGTCATGTCTGCCTTCGGGGAAAACACCATAACAACACTCGAACTGGCATCGCGATCGGGCCTGGCGGGTTACACATACTTTACGTTTCAAGAGAATGAGATACATCAAGAGCAAGAAATCAATCACATTGCAGAGTACAGTCACAGAGTGAGAAAGCAGAGAGAAGTTTGTGACGAGGTAATGTCAATTTTCTGTACTGAGGCCTGGGTCAAGTAAATGCTAGCTGATGCATCCGAAACCTTGTGCCTTGTAGAACCTGAAACCCTTGTAGTCCTTGATGAAGTTCCAATTCCTTAGCCATACCAATTTCTTAAGCCATCCATCCCATTCCGGCTATTCCAAGTGAAGAACTGCCAGTGACCGAATAGCTAGACTTGATTTCCTTAAAGGAAATACATGAGAATGGCTCCGGCAATGGCGCACACAACCACAACCTCGGTCTTCGAGGCCTCAGAGGAGGGAGTGGGAGTGACGACAGTCTGAGTCGCGGTGCCGACGGAGGAGGTCTCCTTTCCAGTGGAGGAGACAGACGTCTCAGTCTTGGTGGAAGACTCCTTGGTGGAGGAGGTAGTTCCAGTCTCAGAGATGACGGACGAGGTCTCCATGGCAGTGGTGACGACCGGGGTAGAGACCGCGAAGGTCTCAGTGAAGTACACCGCCTGGCACACCTCGGAGGTGACCTGCGAGCAGATCGAAGAGGTGCCAACTGTGAAAAACAAACGCGTTAGAAAAGTGCGATTTCAAAGCAGAACTGAAAATGAAACTTACTGGAGACGGAGGGCTCGATGATGCCGGTAGGGTGACCCTTGCTGGGGTCCTCACTCAGGGTGACGAGCTCATAGGAGCCAGTGTCTGGATATGTGTGTGAGCCTTGAGACCGCGCTGCGCGAAATACGAGATTGGGAAACTTACTGGTCGCGTCGTCATGGCCTCCGACGATAGGCTCAGGGGTGAAGGTAGGGCCTGTGCCCAGGTAAAAGGTGTAGCCCTTAGCGATAGTAGAGGGACGCATGATTGTGGTTGGATGAGTTGATTGGGGAATGGTGTGTGTTGGTATGGATGAATCTGTTGATACAGAAAGCAAGAATGAAAGATGCTGATGAGCAAGAACGTGTGTGTGGGTAGCGAAATGGAAGTGTGTGTGTGTGTGTGTGTGTGTGTGTGTGTGTGGAAGAGAGGAAGTTTGGAAGAGGGAGGGTAGGGAGAAGAATTTTTTATAGAGGGCAGTCTGGAAAGGAAAGCAACCGGATCACCCAAGGCAGCCTGGGTGGTTGAACCACCCTTCTCGATACCTTAGGCCGTGTGAACCATGAGGCCATCGAGGAGGAAGTTCGTGATAGAAGGAGGTACGTACATACCCTTGGATCAACTTATGATTGGCCAATTGGGGTGGTTTTGCGGGTTGATCATCTTCTTTTTGAAGGCGAGAGCTATGGACGGGGGTGTGATAGATAGAAAGAGTGCTTTGGAATATTCTCATTGGCCGATTAATTGCTCAAGTCACATATTTATGATGGGAAAAGCGGATCTAGTGAGTCTGGAGGTGGATGAGGCAGATCACAGAAAAGGCGAGAGCCAGGGGATACAGAAGTTTACAAACAAGGCGAGAGCCAAGGGGTTAGAGGTTCTCCATATGGGCTAGAGCAGAGGACCTGGATTAATTGAATGGTTATGGTACATGTTGTGGAATTATTGAAAGGGATAAGCCAAAAGGAGAGCACATCAGCTCACAAGCAAGACAAGAACCAGGGGGTTAGAGGCAATCCAAAAAGGCGAGAGCAGACGATGTGGACTACATGGCCATCATACTATGGCCACAGATACCTTGCTTGAGTGAGCCAAGAGGTAGGCAGGGCAATTCACAAATAAGGCGAGGGCTGAGGGATCACAGAGTAAAGCTCCACAAAGAGCGAGAGCAGACGACATCAATCATATAGTCATAGAAATTCTGGAGACAACAGCTTTCTTGAGTGAGCCCGGAGATTGACGTAGCAGCTCACAATAGAGGTGAGAGCTGAGGGCATTGGTGGTTAGCTTATAAGAGTGGCAAACTTCAAAGGGCGAGAGAGCAAAGAACTATGGGCAAGAAAGGCCTCTCAAAAAGGCGAGAGTAGAAGCACTATCTCACACAATGGTGAAATTGCGAGATAGGGCAGACTTGCTCTCGCCTTTTTGAGATGGTCACAACAGCAGCTAGCTCACAAAAGAGGCGAGAACCAAGGAGAATGGGGCTGAGCCTCAAAAGGTGAGAGCAGGTGGTTATGAGTCAAAAGGGCGAGAGCAGATCACAAATCTCTGAATGTCAATGGGGGGATTTGCTTGAGTGAGTCTGGAAATGGGGGAGCTAGCCCATTAAGGGGAATTTGGGTAATGAAGGATTAAAGAGGCGAGAACAGACGAAAAGAATGGGGGCAGACGAAAAAGACGAGAGTAGACGGAAAGGGATGGCAATTTTCTTTGGAAAGAAAGCAGTGAGTGAGGAATTTTACAAGGCGAGAGCAGACGGTTATGGGGAGATGGACTGCTTCTTTTTCGGAAAAAGTGAAAGCAGAAAGCATCAAATGGCTGTCCCTGGGTTGGTGAGAATACTTAGTGACAAGTTTCCTGGGCTGCTTGCCTCAGCCCACTTCCTATGATGACAAAAAACATGAAGAAATTGGCGGGCTAGCTAGGTTGCCTGAGCCTGTTTTTTTCTGTATAGAGAGAAGGAATCGTCTGATGACTGTTTCACTCCAAGATGGGACATTATATGGCCTGAGGTTTGGACGAAGCTCAGATAGAGGTGTGTTTGGACGGAACGCTACATCGGATGTGATGAGAATATCTCACATGAGAAAGAGCAGTGGAACCAGACGAAATGCAGGAAATGCAGCTGTGGAAGGTTGGGTGAATGCTTGGTCATTGAAGGAGTATGGGTACAGAAATGTGATGGGAAACTAGGGTGAAGGGTGGTCACTATCATAGATGGGTGCATTTAATCAAATTGTTATGGTATCTTCCTGCTGCATTATGCAAGGCTTGTCTGAGGGGCAGTTGTCAGGGCGATGGTGGGCTCTGCAGTTTTATCAGTTTCTATTCTGGGTGAACGCACTTATGCGGAGACGACAGCCATCAAAGAGGTCACAAAACTCCCCTTCAGCGCCGACAATTCAACTTCAGCGCAGGAAACTCCAGAAGAATACAGAAGCATCTGGGACAAATTGGAATCATGTGGAAACCTTTTTGAAGACAGCAGGATCTCATTGTTGTGATGATTTCAATATTGAGAGCATTTCTATAATCATGCAAAGCCAACTCGAATATGATCCATTTCTTTCTGAAATCGCTATGGAGTTGGATGCTGTAACTTGCAAGTATCATCGCAGGCTTCTCAGTATGAATTTGATGCATTAAGAATGCGTAGTTGTTGGGATATTTACTAAATCTGAAGAAGCCTAAACCAGGACGAGGCGAAAAAAGTGTGAGAAAACGATGGAAACACTTAGCGGAGGGTGATGTTGCTGAGATATCATTGTGGTCTGCAAGATGGTCAATCAGGCTGAGGATTTGAGCCTGAGGAATGCATTCGCCTCACCAGAGCCTCCCGCTATTGCGATTTGATATGCCGCGTCGCCCAAGTACGTCCTTCTATCACTTTTCTCGCGTTTTCTTTTTGAGTAGAACACATTTGGCTAAGCAGCAAATAATTAGAACAGTTGAAAATGACGTAGAATGTAGATGAAGTAGAGAAGCCGAGGCAACGCTGAAACCACAATTTCCATATTTACCTGACTTGACTAAATGACAGATTTCCGAGTCCAAGAGGCTAAGAGTCCTTGAGGACGACTGCGTCTTTGCCTATGAAGTTCAAGCTACACTCCAACTTTGAGCGTCCCGTACATGCATGTCGTCGATTGAGATCAAGTGGAGAAGCCTACGACAGCTTGCCTACGAGTGCAGATATCCAAATGAGAAACAAAACAGGATAAAGCAGCTTGGTGGGGATAATGATACGAGGAAGTCGTCTTCCTCGGCAAATGAGATAGTTATGAGAGGAAATCTAGTGATTTTGTTCCTCAGAGATTAAATCTACGGCAACGCCAATAGCTCTGGATAAATCAGTGATCCGAGAGCAGAAACGAATTGACACTTAGCTTAGTACTTACGTAAATATTCAAAAGTTGTGTAGTGAGCTGAGCAACACAAGGCATCACAATGAAGTCGCTCAGACTGTATGAGCTAGAGATATCAAATTAAAAGGGGGTATCATTCATCATTAAATCATAATCTACCACAAAAATCCATCAACTCATCAAACCACACCACCCCTACTCCTCCCCTCATCCAAAAATCCCAGCAACAACAGCCATAACACCAACATAAACCCCCGAAGCCAGCACCCCCTCCGTAGCAGCCACCCTCGCAGGACGACCCGCCCCAAGACTACTAAACAACCCCGCCTGCGCCACACCAGCAGCAACGCCCACAGCAACAAGCAACACAACAGCCATACGCCCCACGAAACCCGGGATCACAGCAAACGCCAGTATCGGCAGCAAAAACGCCGCAGCGAACGCGATGGCGAGGGTAGGGAGGTACCCCGTCAGAGCTGAGATTAACATGCGGCGGATACGCTCTGCCCTATCTGCGCTCTGACTTTCTGGGGCTAGTGGAGAGGACGGCGAAGGGAGGTTTGCGTTGCGCGGTTGGGGGGTGCGAAGGTCGTCGCTTGAGAAGCTGGAGTTTGAGGTGGTGGTGGAGGAGGAGGTTGGGCGGGCGAGGGAGACGAGGTCGTCTTGGGGATCGAGGAAGCGTGTTTCGATTTCGGCTATGGGGTTGTGGTTTGCTAGGTAGGCGCGGTAGAAGTCTACATCTTGGGGGTCTGGGTTGGGGAGGTGCTGGGTTTCTTTGAAGGATGAGAGGACGTGGTCTGCGGCGTGTTAGCGACGAGATTGGAAGATGTGAGGTGAGGTGGATGAGGGGACTTACTGTATTGACTGAGTTTGTAGCCAACTTTGCCTAGGATATCCGTCTTATGCCACTGTAGTTCACCCGCGGTGAGGGAGTCTTGCCTTCTCGACGCCGGTAGGAAGCAGTTCTGCATCCGCCGCGTCTGCGTGTCAGCCGTGTCGAGGCGGTGAAGCTGCTCCTCTAACTCGGCGAGCTCATCCTGCAGGTGAAGCAGTAGGCGGTGGTTGAGCGCCTCGAAGCGCCGGTAGATGGGCTTGATGCTCGACCTCTCTGTGTCATCGCCGGCGCACAGCTTGGAGGCGATCAGCTCGTACCCCGTGAGCGGGAGCTTCTCAGCCCTGGGCAGGTGCTTCGGGTGGCCGTGATGCGTGCCGGGGAGACGGGGCTGGAGGGCGTTGGGCGGGAGGTGAGGCAGGTTTGCGGTTCCGCGCGGCATCTCGGGGGTGCCGTAGTGGCGGTAGTCGCGCTGCCGTTGGCCGTGTCCATGTCCGGGGGGCATGGGGACCTCGAACTTGCCGGGCATGGAGGGGGAGTCGCCGTAGGCGCTGTGGTCCGGGCTGCTGCTCCTGTCGGTCTCGTGGTCGCCAGTGCCCATTTCGGAGAAGACATCGCTCTGGAAGCTGCTTGAGGCTGTTGAGGTTGTGCTCCGCGTCGAGGGCGACTGGTAGCTTGCGGCGGCGGGGTCGGGCATCCTCCAGTAGGACGACTGCTCGACGGAGCGCTGGATGGCTTCCGGGATTATGTTGGGTGAGTCTGGTTCGAGGTAGCTAAGGACGTTTGATGAGGAGAGCTGTTGCTGGGTCTTGGGTGAGCGGCTTTGGCGACGACTTTTGAGATAAGACTTGTCGTGGGCTCGCGACTTTTCACTTCCTCTGCGCCTGGGCCACGATGCTTGGGTAATGGTTGAGCCGCTGCCGCTGGAGCTGCCGGAGCCGTGAGTTCTCTCACTAGGAGCTGTGAAGCTGGTGAGGGTAGACTCTGTAGGTGATACTGGGCGGACTGGTGCTTCCTCGTCTTGCTCTTTCTCGGCAGGGACCACCGTCTCATCTGAGGAAGATTCTTGATCCGCAGTGGTGATGAGTTGATCAGAGACAGACCGCGCAGGTTCCATGCCCAAGATGCGACGTCGCGTCGGCGAGTCTGGGTTGGGGGCGGGCATGGACGAGTGCCTCCGGACAGTTGCGCTCCTGGGGCGCGATCGCGGGAGTCCAACTGGCGTCGACGTGTCGTTGGCCGGCATGTGATGGTCTGGATGGTCTCTAGGCGCAGCAGTCTTATCGCTGGCGGCCTGGGCAAACGGTGACGAGGGGGCCGGCGCCGGGACGGCGTCGACGACGCGCATGAGTCCGTCGACCGGGTCTGAGGCTAGCCACCCTTGATCTGTGGCGTGGCAGTCGTCCATGGTGGTGACAGGGACGTCGGCCACCGAAGGAGGGTGATAGGCCGTGGACATTTTGGTGTTCGAGGATACGGCCTGGATTAAGTGATGGACGTCGGGATCAGGAGTTGGGTGAGTATCCTTTCTCCCTTGAGTTAAGCTTAACGGGAGGCCGAACCGAAGTCGGGGTGTCCCTCGCGTTGAGTAGCTTGCTTGCTTGAGTAGGTATAGCAAAGTTCGGATATTCGAGTTGACACGAGCTGTAATGTGGCCCGTTGTATGGCGAAGAATGTCTCAGATTAGTAGATCTAGGGCTACTGCGAGTCGCACACGAGGCAGCGGTAGCTTAATACACATTACTAGAAGGTCGTAGGGTCGGCAGTGAAGGTGGGAAGCGCACAAGGGAGTGTCAGGCTCCAGTAGAAGATGGAAAATGAAGGAGAGTAGAAGAATGGGTGTGCCCTCAAACGCTTGCTCGGAAGTTTGGGAGGGACGGGATCGGGCTGGGGAACTCCCGGGATGTTCAGTTCAGATTCTGGGGGAGCGGCTTCAGGATGACAGCGGCAGCGGCAGCGGTAGCATCGCGGTGAGGATAGCGGGCATCGAATTTGTGTGGCGTGGCGTGGCGACGGCGACTGGCATTTGAAGGATCATTTCCTGAAGAGCTGAATGGGAGGAAGGGAGAGCACATGGTGGGATGGGAATTTCATCGTTGGAGGGGCTGCTTCTCGATAGGGGGGGGGGGTACTGTGAGGGAAGGCAGGCAAGGAAAGGAAACCGTAAGAAAACATGGAAGAGCAGCGCCGTGTGATCGGGTGAAGAGTGTGTCAGCCGTTGACGAATTTGTTTCAGATGACCAGGAAGACTGGACCAGCGAGCTCCAAGGTCCAAGGAGTGTGTGACGGACGGACGGGCACCGGCGTTGGGCTGAGCTGAAAGATGTGGTGGCATTCGGGTGGTGGGATGGGAAAGTTGTGGTACTCCGTATTGACTGGACTTTGATGCAGTTGAGATTCGATCAAATTGAAATACCTGACACCAAAAGATAGGACAATTTGACCAAGGTAACAAGGAGCAGCATGTACTAGATCTCAGGTAGACAGTGGACATGGAATTGGAAGAGCAAACGGCGGCCAAAACGATCCCAGTGCTGCGGGACGTTTCCACAACGGACGGGCACCCGTTAGCTGCATGGCGTACTGCGTGGCACTCCACTGATTTCCAGCGCATGTGCGCCATTCTTGCCTTGCCTTAGGGGATGCAATGCACCATTATGTCAGCCCCCCAAGAACCTGGCACTTCCGTTGCGGGACGGACCCGTCCATGGACCGAAGACGCCCGGAAGCCCATGCGGCCCGAGAAAACAGGTACGTACCTTGGAAAGCTTCCATCGATTTTGATGCGACGGGAGCTTCCCATGAAGCTATCTCTAGCTACCTGTATCCCAAGATCAGTCTGGGAAACATACAGTCCGACCACCACCTAAGCCACCCGGGACTCTTGTGCAAACCTGTAATGGTCGCATAGTGGCGAAATCCAATCAGTCTGAACCTCCTGCTCGCCCGACCCCTACCCCTCCAATCACGCCGACCTACAGAAGCTTCGTAGCCACTGGTTGACAAACACGAATCCTTCACAGGAGGAGGGTGTACAACATACAAGTCAAGGAACCAGATTTTGTCCAATTGCTATCACATTGAATTCTCGACCGACCAATCCCACGAAAGCGCAAAGCCTGCCAGTTCCCGAATAGACCTGCAAAAGGCAGTCACTACCACCACCGACTATCCTTCGAAACGAGATCCTCCTTCCCGACATGGCGCGCATACCGACCCGCGAGCTGGCCCGCTACCTCTTCAACGGCCAGCTCTCCCGTCAAGGTTGCTTGGCCTCGACCCGACGATCATACATCCGCCTACCGGCGCGTTCCGCACTAGCCCTGCCGTCCGCTCCCCGGCTCGGAGAGTCGAGAGCAACATACGCGACAGCTCAGCCCGCAACAGCAGCATCGCAAGAAGCGCCGCCGGTACCGTTAAGAAAGAAACTCAAGGAGGAGAAGAAACAACTGAAAAAGGAAACAAGAGGCCAAAAGCCCAAGGGAAGCAACCAGACAGTCGAGGGCTGGGAGTTGACCGTCGGCATCGAGATCCACGCCCAACTCAACACGGCACGAAAGCTCTTCTCACCGGCCGCGACATCCTTCAATGACGACCCAAACTCCCACGTAGCGCTCTTCGATGTCGCCATGCCGGGCTCTCAGCCGAGGTTCCAAAAGGAAACCCTGATCCCGGCCTTGCGCGCGGCGTGTGCTCTCAACTGCGATATTCAGCCCGTCAGCCGGTTCGACAGGAAACATTACTTTTGGTGGGACCAGCCGTCGGGGTACCAGATCACGCAGTACTACGAGCCCTTTGCCCGCAACGGCGAAATCGAGCTCACTGCGCGGGACGGCATCGCTGCCGAAGACGGGGAGAGCGTCACGATTGGCATCCAGCAGATACAGATGGAGCAGGATACCGCCAAGACTCTGGCGCAGCCTAACGACGTCTCCTGGCTTGACTTTAATCGCGTCGGCATGCCTCTGATTGAGATCATTACGAAGCCGGAGCTTCATCACCCTCGTACTGCCGCCGTGTTCGTCCGCAAGATCCAGATGCTGCTTAACGCTGTCGATGCTTGTGTGTCGGGGATGGAGACGGGCGGTTTGCGTGCCGATGTGAACGTCTCGGTGCGGAGGACTGGTGATCCGAATACGCCGCTCGGTACGCGGACGGAAATCAAGAACTTGAGCACCATCAAGGCTGTTGAAGACGCCATCATCGCCGAGCGTGATCGGCAGATCAAGGCTCTTGATGCAGGCGAGACGATTGCGAGCGAGACGAGGGGGTGGACTTTGGGATCCAAGCATACCCGGCGTCTGCGAGGCAAGGAGGGCGAGGTGGACTACCGCTACATGCCGGACCCCGATCTGGGCCCCCTTGTGATCGGCCAAGATCTCGTGGACCATATCAGGGCCTCCGTCAAGGAGCTACCTGACATTGAGCTGACGGAGCTGATTGAAAATTACGGCTTGACGGCCAAGGATGCGGTCTCCATCATGGCACTCGACGACGGCGGCAGGCTAGAGTTCTTTTACAAGGTCGTTGACGAGCTCCGGGGTCAATTGGAGAGCGCGGGGCTGGAGACCAACCTGCACGACTACGCTTCCCTTGCCGGCAACTGGATCCTCCATGAGCTAGGTCGCTTGACGACGGACAAGGCCGACCCGGAAGCCGCCCAACGGACATTAGAGATCTCCCCAGATGGCTCCTGCGAAGCAGTCCCGCATTCCGCACTCGCCGGCATCCTCTTCCACCTCCAGAAGCGGGATATCACAGGCAAAGTCGCCAAGGAGCTCCTGGTGGCCCAATATCTCGGCAACCTGGACGAATTCGCCTCCGTTACGGACGCCATCACGACACACGAGCTGTGGTTCAAGGAAATGTCGGACGCGGAGTACCGACAGCTCTCAGAAGAGGCCGTCGAAGGAGAGGACAAGGTTTTGAGGGAATTCATGGACAAGAAGAAGTATCCCCAGGGCAAGCTCATGTACCTCGTCGGTAAGATGATGCGCATCGGCGAGACGGAGCGGATCGACCCCTCGGGCGCCGAAAAGGTCATGCGTCAGCTCATCAAGGAGCGGACGGGCGCGCGTCAGGACTGATTTCCTCTCTTTCTTGGCTTTCTTCTTCTCTTCCTGCTAGAGGGGGCTATATGAGCCCATGTAGGTGCATCTAGGCACGCTATATTGTACAATGTATCATAACATCATAAGTAAAACTCGATAATACGAGTGTAAGATAGCAGGGCATTTCCAACCTTCTTGTTTCCCAGTCCCACGAAACTTTACTTTGGACTCGTCGACGCCGCCGACCGAACGTCTAGTTTAGTCGGCATAAACCCAAAATTGATATTCTCCCGTTCCCTCACAAACCGCTCAATACGCTCCTCCCGCCCCTTTCCAGCCACAGCCTGGCCCTGCCGCCTCAGCGTCTCGCTGATGTTAGCCTCGTGCGCATTCTTCTTCTCGAGAAACGTCGCCGTGCTATTATCCATCCTCGTCGTCTGCGCCACTGTGCCCACCGCCAACGCGGCCAGGACCAGCGCCGCGAAGCTGGCGTTGGACATGTACATTGGCTTTTGTTTCTCGTTCCCGCCATTGGCCTGCCGTTCATGCCAGCGCTCCCAGTCTTCCCATGTAGCGTTCATGGCGGGAGAGTCACCTCCCCGCCCTCCGCCGGCGGCACCGTAGCCGTGGCGCCATGCTTTATCGGCGCGGCGGTAGACTTCGTTGATGTCTTCTGCGGCTTCCTTGCCGGTGCCAGGGACGTGCCAGCCGAAGCCCCAGGCGTCGTAGGCGCGGCGTTTATCTGGGGAGCTGAGGATTTCGTTTGCGAGGACGATGAGGCGGTAACGTTCTAGGCGGGTTGCGGCGGGGAGGGAGTCGAGAGCTGTGGCGTGGTGTTTGTCTGGGTGGTATTGTTTTACGAGCTCGGCGAAGCGGGATTTGGTGTAGGGTGCTGTTTTGTGTATTGCAAAGATGTCGTAGGGGGTTGGGTTTGTACATGTTGGCCAGGGGCTGTTCCCAGGGTTGCTTTTTGAGCCATTGTGAGGAGGGTTGTTTACTGTTGCATAGGGTCGTGAGGTTGAGGGTTGTTTGTGTTGTGAGGCGGGGTGGTCGGAGGAGGATGGTCGTCGTGTGGGTGGTGACGTTATTGATGTATGGTGTGCGGGGACGGCGAAAAGGTTTAGGACGTTGTTGGATGAGCAGATGGCGAATGCTGAGGATGCCTTGAGGACCATGGCTGCGGTTGAAATGTGTAGTTTGTTTGGGACGGGAATCTCAAGGAGGTTGAGGGAGAGGATCGAGGACGAGCATCTTTTGCAGTGTCGTCGTCGGGGTTTGTATAAAGCAGACGGGTGAGTGCTCGGCGATGTAAGTGGCCTGGGAGTGAGAGAGTTTGGACGCCGGTGGTTCGTTCGACTTGCACCTGGCAGTGGCTCGTCCAATTGACGCATTCGTGCTCAGTGCTTCTGCTCAGTGCTTAGACTCCCAGCTGGTCCTCCTCCCGGGCAGTCACTTCCACACTGCCACCTAGTGCTCCTCCCTCCCCAAGCCGATCCGATAGCTCCGCTGCAGGAAACGAGTGGAGCGGGGACGGAGGGAAGGGATTGAATCAGACCAATCGGCTAATGGATGGCTAACTGGGGTGAGTTCGGTAAAGAACGAATGAGAAGAGATGAGGAGCTCTCGGTGAGCGGGCTCAGGCCAATGTCACCACCCATGATCCAAGACCTACCCTGACACTTTCAGCACCTTGATCATTGTGTTGAGAGACATGTAGCATTTTAAGCTTATCTGCATTTTTCTTCTAAGACGTGATCTCATTATTCGTAGGTATGCAATGCTAGCAAGAGCTTCTCTTGGGCTCTTCCTTGCCTTGACTCACAAGTTACCTTACCTCAGGTACCTAAGTAAGGGAGGTGCTTCCTCCTGGAAGAGGTCACGTGTTCCTACCTGCAGCGCTAGACCAGGAAGGCAAGGGGTCCCGCCCCGACGACACAGCTGATGCGCACCGAACGCACTGGGACGGGGATTCACCACCACAAACTTGCTTCCATGTCCCGGGCAGACGACTCTTCCTCCACACTCACACACACAACCACACTCCTCTCAACCACACGCAAACCCAACCATCCCACAATCCTCTTCGCGCTGCACCTCGTGGACGAAACACATTTTACGCTGTTTCAGTAGCCCGAGTCATCAACAAACGACCTGAACTTTTCGCAATTGCGCAAAACCCACGAACAACGCACCACAATCACAACCCGCCTCCACCAACCAACCACATCCCTCGACTTTCCTGCACCGAAACTCTGCCCGAGTCCCGGTCATCCACCCAGCTTCCCTCCGGCCACGGAACCAACGACGAACCACGCGACGCTCCTGCTCGCCCTCAAGTGACAATCCCGCGAATATCGAATATTCTTCAGCGACAATTGCCCTTTTCGTTGTCGTCGACTCCCACTTTACCTGTCTGCTTCCTAATACTTACCGAGCACGACTCGCCCCTCGATTCACATCGCGAAGTGGGGAAAGCAAAGCCCTTTCGCGCAACATCCCTCAACGACTGCATCGCACCCTCTTCCCCTGCCACTAGGCACGTACTCCATAAACACACATTCAAATGGCGGAAGCACTCGCAGACAAGCTCAAGGCGACAAACTTGAGGTTTGCCTCCCCCACTGCCCTCCTAGGAACCCATGTTTGAAGGCTCGGTAGACTGACTTTCGCAGCGATGGCGCCGCATCAGAGGACTGGAAGAAGAGCTTGAACCTGCCTGCTAGGGACAACAGACACCAGACTGAGGTATGTTACCGGCAAGACCAACCTCCCCCCCTCATCTGTTCTTTCCCACCCTCTCACAAACTTGCTCCCAGGATGTCACAAACACCAAGGGTCTGGAGTTTGAAAACTTCCAATTGAAGAGAGACTTGTTGATGGGCATCTTCGAGGCTGGCTTCGAGAAGCCGTCGCCCATCCAAGAAGAAGCCATCCCCGTCGCCCTCACCGGTCGTGATATCCTCGCCCGTGCCAAGAACGGTACCGGAAAGACTGCCGCCTTCGTCATCCCCGCCCTCGAAAAGATCAACCCCAAGGTCTCCAAAATCCAAGCCCTCATCCTCGTCCCCACTCGCGAACTCGCCATGCAAACATCACAAGTCTGCAAGACCCTCGGCAAGCACCTCGGAATCAACGTCATGGTCACTACCGGAGGTACTGGTCTCCGAGACGATATCATCCGCCTCCAGGACCCCGTCCATATTGTGGTCGGTACCCCCGGCAGAATCCTCGATCTCGCGGGCAAGAACGTCGCCGACCTCAGCGAATGCCCCATGTTCATCATGGATGAGGCTGACAAGCTTCTCTCCATTGAATTCACTCCCGTCATTGAGCAGCTCCTCCAGTTCCACCCCAAGGACCGCCAGGTCATGCTCTTCTCCGCCACCTTCCCCCTCTCTGTCAAGGACTTCTCCGACAAGAACATGGTCAGCCCGTACGAGATCAACCTCATGGACGAGCTCACCCTGCGCGGTATCACCCAGTACTACGCCTTTGTCGAAGAGAAGCAAAAGGTCCACTGCCTCAACACCCTCTTCTCCAAGCTTCAAATCAACCAGTCCATCATCTTCTGCAACTCGACCAACCGTGTCGAGCTGCTGGCCAAGAAGATTACTGAACTGGGTTACTCATGCTTCTACAGTCACGCCAAGATGGCCCAACAAGCACGAAACCGCGTCTTCCACGACTTCCGCAACGGCGTGTGCCGTAACCTTGTCTGCTCCGATCTTCTCACCCGTGGTATCGATATTCAGGCTGTGAATGTCGTCATCAACTTCGATTTCCCCAAGAACGCTGAGACCTACCTGCATCGCATTGGTCGCTCTGGTCGTTATGGCCACTTGGGTCTGGCTATCAACCTCATCAACTGGGATGACAGATTCAACCTCTACAACATTGAGAAGGACCTTGGAACCGAGATCCAGCCCATTCCCGCCAGCATCGACAAGTCCCTCTACGTTTACGAGAACCCCGAGTCCATTCCGAGACCCATTTCCAACTTCCGCACCGGCCAGCCTGGTCAGGGCCAGCCGCAGCAGCAGCAGCCTGGTCAGATCCAGGGCCAGCAATTGCCTCTGCAGGGTGGCCCCGCACCGGGCAACTGGCAGACTCAGCAGCCCCAGCAAGGCCAGCAGAATGGATATCAGGGCGGCGGCAGAGGCCGTGGCCGTGGCCGTGGTGGCTACCGTGGTCAGAACCGTGGCGGCTATGGCGGCCGGGGACGTGGTCAAGGCCAAGGCCAGGGTCACCCCCAACCCCAAGGACAAACGTCCTAGGGTTCCACCCATCTCTTCTCTTTAGAAAGGCGTTACGGCGTATGCGGTCGCGACGGAACACGCGACTGCGTCTTGTTTGGATTGTACATAGTTCCTCTTCTTTTTTCTCCTGATTTTGGAGGCGACACGGCACGATTAGACTGGGTCGGGCATCTCATCCCTGCTCAACATGAGCTTTTAGGTCCCCCTCACCACTCACGATCACGAAACACGAAAAACACACTCGATCAGACCTATACAACTCGTCGCCAAGCAACAAAAGCTTCGTCACATATTCGCAAACTTTTGGCCTGTACCATACCCCCAACGGATCTTATGGTCTTTTGTTTGGCTTCTTTTCTTTTTCCTTCGGCCTTCTGACGACGGGCACTTTCTACCCGTAATGGAAATGCATGCTGTCTGGAGACGACAGAACGAACAAGACGACAGGCTGAGCCATTGAAAAAAACAACATCATCAACCACGGGGCGTGACGTCTGATCTTGGACGAGTCACCACACCCCGGACATGGAAATAACCCGCTCCCACCTTATCATGTCACGTGCTTCTTTAACGACGGCGTTTGGGGGGGTTAACAAGCGGCTGAGCGGTATCAGCCCGGAACGGCGTTCGCATGGATGGCGGGCCACATTTGATTTCTGGTGGACAAAAGGGGAGTTGGCCCTCGCGGCCGAGGGCGGCAACACTACGGGATGAGGGCGGTTCGGTAGCTCATCTCTGGTTTATGCGCCGCGGTGTCTTTTGAGTATTAATCAATCGATCGCGGAGACGACTGATGTTGGGATATGACACGGAGGGCGACGGGGCGGCTGGCATCCAACGGCGTCTGTCGGAGCACGATATTCATCATCGTGCATTTTCTTTGGCAGGGGAAGATATGGTTGGAGGCCCTCCGTCCGGGGTTAGGAGGAGGAGCGTTTGTCGTCGGTCGACTGACAAAGCCAAGATATTGCTTCTTGGCGCCCGAACTCAAAACGGAGGTTTCGACATGATCCGTTACGCATTCTACGCCTATGCCCTGCTTCTTGCGAAAAGGCAGACTCGACGAACGACCGCAGAAATACCCGAGTATCATTATGCTTGGTTCGGTTCTCTTGGACCCATCCTGGCCCAGCTTATTGAGTGTCTCGTCTGCCTTGAGCGTGGACACAGGCCTCAAGGGTGTGTCGGCTCAGTTTGGTGTTGTTGGGAGAGCGAGCGGCCTCTTTTGGTACTCACATCAACAAGAAAATAACGCAGAAAACCCGTTTTGGGAGAGAATCGCTGGATGTGCTAGAAGGCTTTCGGACTGGTGTGGTCTTTGGTATGACACCTGCTCAACTGATGAGCAGGGTGTCATGGACCGGGACTGGTGGGCTAGATAGTTGTCTGAGCATTTGGAGTGGCAATCAAGACACAATTCTCTCTCATAACCATTTCTTCTGTGACCTTCGATGTGTTGCTTGACGTTGTTGGTTGTGTGTGTAGCTCGTGATTCCATTTCATCTGAATACGGCTACGAAGCCTAAGTAACATGTCTCCGGCGACTCAAGCTGCCAGTTAACTTGTGTGATGACGACGGGGTTTGCCACAGGTGAGCAGCGGGGCTCTACAGTCATGGGATCCAATTTTCTCAATTGGGAGCTGTTGACTAGTCCATGCCTTGAAAGATCATCTTAGGCTGCAATCGTGAACTTCTTCTCCAGGAAGAACGCTAACGATGACACAAAGGTCCTACGTCCCACACAAGGAGGCGATCTTTAGAGGACTTCTTACGTCGATTATGTAGTGTCAAGAGAGAGTGCCTGCCTGATGTAGCTGGGGCCCGTGTCTCGAGGGCTGGCGGTTGGTATATAAGGGTCTTCTTCGTCTCATCAATGATGGGGCTGCCAGGATCAAAGCAAAGTAAGCTGTCCGCGATCGTCGGGTGTTGTTGCTAAAGATTTTGTTGCCAAACGCCATCGTCGAGTGCACGTGAACGACCATGGGGAGAGGCCATCCGAGCTAGGATTCGGGCATGATCCTAGGTCCTCGACGAGGTGCGTACTTGGGTTCCGGTCGATTTCTTGTGGTTATTCGAGGCGGTATATGGTAGAGTTGATGGACCTGGCTGGGGGTTGAATCTAAGAATTTGGAGCGGCTCCTCTCTGGAGTAGGTACCTCACTCGAGACGTGATGTCGTGCCCGGGTGCGGCGTGACAAACCAAAGATACCATGAACAGATTCAATCTCGACTGGTTTAATCGCCGCCCATTGCGCGGTGTCTTGGCTTCTTTGGTTTCTTAGCTGGTGGCGGTTTTTTTATAGCTAGCTACCTGATCTATGGTCTGTATGGCTGCGACGCCGGGAAGGTCCGCCCGATGTTCCCGCCGTGTCGTCGGCCGTTGCAGGGCCGAGACAAGCCACGGCGCCGGGTGGATGGTACGTGGTAAGGTAGGTACGTGGTGTCAGCAACTCCAAGCACCGTTAGGCTGGAAGCGCCGATGGAGGCATGATCAAGTCGACTTCACAGTTGAAAGGCCAGTTGAAGACGCATTCTTGGGGCAGGCGGTAAGACTCCTAGATGGCAGCGAAAGGCAAGCAAATTTGCCATTCCCAGTCCAAGTATCCAGGTCTCAAGACTGCGTGGATAGCTCCGTCTTCAACACCACAATCAGGCACCCCTACTACTCATGAGTACGAGACCAGGCGAAAAGATTAAATCAGAGCATAGTCACTACATGTACGCGCCGCTACCTAGATCCCCTACACGAAAAAAACACCAAACTCTAGAACGAGCCGCAGTGTTGGAAAGCAAAAGATCTAGTTTTAAAAGCGCGCGGCGTGTGTATGCACGTATTTCGGGTAGAAATATGTTTGTCTTACACGCCGTTGTCGTCAATCTCCGGACCCTGTGAAAGCCAAATAACCATTTGAAAGGTCAAAGTGGCACAAAAAAGTCCGGGTTTGGGAGGTCACGGTAGTCACAATCATGGTCACGGTCTCGGTGGAAGACTGGTGTAGATGATGGCTTGGCGCTGTTGCTGAGCGCGAGCGACTTACCTCTGATGCGCTCTCTACGGAACTTTCTTCAGATAAACCGGTTGCTCGTAGAGCGGGAGATCTTGGTGTTCTTGTTTGAACACGGTCTTTGCGCGAAGGAAAAAATTGAAGATGGGAAGAAGCTTGGGGACCCGTTGCGATATTTATTCGCCCGAAAATTTCGTATCCATAGCTTATCTGTATATGCATCTATCCGGTTAATCCGCACTGCCAATTTTAGCAAGCGATGCAATTGATCCCGATTCCGTACACGGATTAGCCTCACTTTTTGGCCGACGTCTTTGAATTTGATGCCCTCGTCGAATTCCGCATAATTGACCTCGTCGCCTGGCGTCCAAGGATGTTAGAGAAGAAGAGCATACACGGTTAATATATCTGTACTTCGCAGGCTATCAATTTTGATTTCCCTATTTCTAATTTCCTCCATCATCGCCCGAGGTTATCTGAAGAGCGATCTTGAGGTTCCCAGAGCCGATTCTCCGTGTGTCACAACAATCACGATGCGCGCTCTTTTCACCATAATAGGCCAAGGTGTAGTGTTGCCACCGAAGCTTGAGCCGCGAACAAAAAGGATGGCTGTCTCACGGCTGTTCTGCGATGGGCTGTGGAAGCACTGATCTGCTTCCATGCTGTAGGTATTACAGCGCCAATCCGAGGTCTTGCTTGGCAAAACGACGTGAGAAAACTGCTAGGACGTGCTCCGAATGTGTGAGAACACAGGCGACGGGCAGATCTTGCCTTGATGTCGCGTTATGCTGGGCAACTAGGCTTTCTTTTCTTTTTGGTCTGCAGCTGTGATTCGCTCAGCGAGAAGTATGCCTTGTGCGCCTCATGAATGTTTCTCTAGCCGCCAAGGGCCCAACCGACTGGAAGTGCGGTCCAACAGAACGAAGTGCTGCCCAACTCTCTTAGTCCTCTTAGTCAAACTTTCCTCTCTGATGAAAAACAACAGAAAACAGAACGAGTGCCAGTGACACCAAGGGATATGGTAAGTACCCGTTCACCGAAAAAGGACCTAGGCACAACTTCATTTCGCGCGACTGCAGACTCACATATGGAAATAGGCAGGCGCGATTGGAACCGCCGCGAGCGTTGTCGGCCTTGTCGGTGCACTGCTGAAAACCGTTCATGAGATTCGAAAAGCCCGCGAGCATGTGAAGAACCCGCCAAAAAGACTCGATGATATCTCATCGACGCTCGAAACCATGTTGAAGACAGCTAATCAGGTCAGAGAGGAGCCCAGACTACATATACCTGCGGTTGTTGATCAGCTCGAGATATTTGAAAGCAATCGTGGAGGAGCTCCATCAGCTTTTCAAAAGGCTGCAGGAGAAGATCCAGAGACGCAAGTTTCCGAGGTTTACGAAAGCCTTGGTGACACAAGATGCGGATGAGACTGAGGCGGCTTACATTTCGAACCGATTAGCCAATGCCACAGCGGAGCTAGGCACTCGAATTAACGTCGCAGTCAAGCTTCTTGAGGGCATCAACTCAAAGGTGCACCAGGACAGTATGCACGAACCCTGGTTGCGAAACACGTTTTGGCTGGAGCTAACATGCTGACTTCAACGAATGTAGCGAACTTGTCGGACTTCACTGACCCCGAGTTCCTCTCCAACCTGTCTTCCGTCCATTCCAGTATAGACGCAGCATATTTCCGCCACTTTTACCAGACCTCGGCCAAACCTTTTGATTGTGGAGAACTTGTCAGGAATCTGAAGGATCGAAAAGGAAAGCCATTTGTGTTCGTTGACCATGAGACTGGACTGGGCCATTCCATGTTCACATTCTCGATTGTCAATGATCTTAGACTATATTACGGATACTACACCACGGCTTACTTCCTTTGTAAAGACACTAGAAGCGATCCAAGACCACTCGTCACAACGTGAAAATCCGAAAACCTGTACGAAATGGGTCTTGACGGGGAAACTTTCAGATTCCTTACGGGAGCGACTCAGTGGTTTAGGAAGAGAAGCAGATACCACTGAAATTCTCCTGAAAGCCAGTGATGTCGCAGCAGCTTTCGGACTCCAAGAAGCCATCCCGAGAATAATAAAGACAGCAGCAGTGTGGGGAAATTTTATGGAACATGGCGTGACGGCTCAAGCACATTTTGTCAACAACGACTTGTCGTGGTTTCGCTATTGCAAGCCAGCACAGTCATGGTGCGCAAGGCCAACAGACAGTCGACATGATTCAAGAATGCTATGGCTTCGGAAAGGCCCCCATTCATCCTTAGCATCAAATGCTGTTGGATTTGAAGTTGCTTCAGGCATGCTCCTCGACAAGGAAGAGTTACCGATTGTGGCGTATTTCTCCTTTGCGACCTTCGAGGCTGGCGCAAATCAGTCCCCAACATCTCGTCAAGACTTCCATGAGCAAACATTTCAAGCGCAAGTTGCTTGGTGCATCGTCGCTCAGCTCCTCCGCCGGCAATATGGGCCCGAGTCTTCACTCGCTGAGACTCTTTTGCGGCTTCCTCCAATGGCAAGAGAGACTCTTATTTCAACCTGCTCAGCAATCGGGGAGTCGAAGTATCCCTTCAAGCCTACTCCTGATGGCAATGATCCTGCTTCGCCATTGTCGGAATCTGTCACTTCCTAGTATCATGATACCAGAGGTCTCACTTGGAGCCATCTATCAGAGGTTACTACTGTCATGAGCGCTTATCTCGAGGATATTACGCAAGATGGAAAATGTGTTGTGCTGGTTCTTGACGGTCTAGAGCATCAATATCAAAGTGCTTGCGCGAAGCTAGTCACTTGGATCGACAAGCTTGGCCATGGAGTCAGAGCCCTCCTTTGTATTGATGACACCCGTGAATTCACCACCGGCGGCCAACCGAGGTGGTCAGAGGTCACGTCGAATGCTCCCATTGTGGACAAAACTACGGAGTGGCGAGGTAGGCATTCTGGGGTTTTAAGTGTTACAAGAGAACTTGGAGCACTAACAGCATATAGAGTGCATTGAAAGCCTGAAGTTCGATGACATGCATCAAAGGCGAGATCAAATCGCAGATCCGCTGCCTGCCATCAACCAGTGGCTCTGGGAGACTGAAGAGTTCCAACAGTGGGAATCTTCTGGCAAGATCTTGTGGATAATGGGCAGAGCGGGAAGCGGCAAGTCGGTTCTAGCGAAGAACATCCAACAAAATTTTCAAAGAAAGGTTTCAAACGGCGATCTCAGTGGCGATCTCCTCGTTTGTGACTGGTTCTACTCAGCCCGAGGGCCTACCTTTGGCGCAAAAGATGCTTCAATGCTTCGCGCCCTGACTCTCAGCATCCTCAGCTCAGACAAGAAAACGGTTGAGCCTGCAAGAGCTGTCTATCGCGCACGATTTGATGCTGGGCGACAGGACCACGACTGGTTGCTGTCGGAGCTGTCAGATCTTTTCACAGCACTCGCGCTCAGTCCTTCAACGCCTCGAACACTCGCAGTGGTAGACGCGTTGGACGAGTCGGAGAGCGTGACGGAGTCATCAAGTCTGAAGTCGACGCATGAAAATTTCGACTTGCTTGAAATGTTCACAGAAATTGGCGGTTCTCAAAACAGCCGCGTCCGCTTCGTCTTGCTAAGCAGGCCTGAGTTTGTCATCTCCAAAACCCTCAGTAACTGCCCGCAGATCAGAATGGAGCAATACAATGACCTGGATATTTCCATCGTGATTGAGGGCGGTATCGAGAAACTTCGCATGGCCTGGCGGGGTGCCCCTGACACCGGCCCGACGAATTTCTCCAAGGACTCAAACGCATCAACTAACGCACATTCCCGTGAGAATCCGTCTTCCAATAATGATCTCGAGACACAGGAGAAAAAACTGGGCGAAATACGCGCGCACTTGGAAACTCACGCAAAAGGTGTGATACTCTGGGTCATCCGGATTATTCAACAACTTTTGCTCTTAATCGAAAATGAGATAGGGTTTTCAACCCAGAATCTGATGGACTCACTTATTGCATCACCGCCCGAGGTTGAAGAACTCTACATCAAGTTCCTCGAGAGTCTTAGAGGTTCCAGGTCGACCAAAGAACTAGCAAAGACCAAGATAATTTTGGAATGGATCGTCGGGTCTCAGAGGAGGGCATCCCTACGATTAATAGAGCTACGGGAAATACTTGCGATATCCAACCAGCTGGAGATGGGTAAACATGAAGAATTCAGTCACGATTCCTTGGATCCACACAGGATGATAGTTCTAGAGAACTGTTAGCCCAAGTTCTGTCGCAGCATACAGCTGTACTGTGGTCCGTTTATTGAGATTTTGGATGATCAGCAAAGGTTCAGACTGGACTCACGGCATGAGATCGGCGACGCGAAACAAGATTGGACGATTCAGCTGTCTCATCAAACAGTCAATTCGTTCTTACAGACTCCAAGCCGCAGTGGAGAATTTCACATTGACCCAGCAAGCGCCGAAGGAATGGTCACAACCCAAACCTGCCGTTACCTTGGCATCCGGGCCTCATCACCTGGGCAAATGTGCTATCAAATCACTGCAGAAGGTGAGGGGGACCCAATTCTGGCGCTGAAAGTGGCCTTGGCACCTTTGCTTCGAAATTCGTCCTTGCTAGCCACTAAGCAATACGCAGAGTCAACGAAGCGGCCGTTTGCGAAGTTTGCCCTAGATGTCATCCTGAAGTCTTGTCCAGATAACGAGGCCATTTTTGGAACACTGATGACAGCTGATTCAGAGGGCTTGGCATCCAGAGACTGGGTAGCTGTTCGATGGCTCACAGACATGTGTTTTACCCCAACCTTTCCGGGTACGATCCTGGAACCGTTCATCTTCTTCTGCTGCGTACACGGGCAAACGGAAGCTTTGAAGACTTTCTCAACACTGAAGGATGAATGCTCTGGAGAGTACGAAACAAGACTCATGGCGAATGGAAGAAGCTATCAAATCATCTGCGGCGCCGTCGAGGCTTTCATCAAAGTTCGAGAAGATAATGACACTTGTCTCGCCGCCAGAACATTGGAGACATTGCATACTCTCTGAAAGGAGAAACTCTGACAGATGCTACGGTACTGCAGTACTCGCGTCGCATCAAACCTTTCTAGAGGTGAAGCAGAATATCAGGGCGACTCCGAGAGACTAGAGAACTTGGAGAGCCGCCTGTCGGCACAAAGACATCAACCACGGAAGTTTGTCCAGAATTGTTGTAGTTCCAAAAGGAAGCTGTCGTGCACTTCTGAGAGGATCTTTGGCTGCAGAGATGTCAACGAGGCGTTCCAGGAAGTGTCCAGGTGGATGAAGTCAAATCTGACTCTTGAAATGGAGAGTGACGCGAATACACCAAGGCATAACTATGAGCCAGTGTCCGAAAAGGATAGACAAAGTGTACTGGCTGATATCGAGCGATTCTTTCCGCTGCACACAGAGAATCATTGATAGGCAACTTCAAATACACAGACACCTCCTAGACGGGAACGAAAAGATGTTCTCGAGTCTTGGCTGCATTTGCAAAACGATAGCCACATGCATACGACGTATCACAACAAACTGGATGATGGAGTCATATGTAATGAGATATCCCCTCTTGGGAATTCGTAACTCTTCGCCTCTGTCGAAATATTAGTATATGATGCCGAGCAGGTCTCTGTAACCTCGATGATGGTAAAAGGCGCAGGAATTTCCGCTAGAAGCTTCAGAGTCCTCCACCTCGAGTAATCACAACTATCAAAGACTCAAAATACTAGCTTGTCGACATTCAAAGGGCGGTGAGATACTCTCCAATGAATACTTGGCCAATGGGCGTTGCGACCACAAAACAACGTCAGTTTGAGAAATGGCAAGAGACCTCTCAAGGCAACTACACATCATGGTCACTCTAACATGTAATTGGTCGGAGACAAGCAGATCTCATCCATGACTTGAGATTGGCTGTTGCTCCGATGAAGGCCCAACTTCATCTTACATTTACTGTTCGGCCCACCGTCCAGAGGGAAACTTGTGACAAACGAATTTAGTTTTCTTCGGTACAGGCATCTACAAAAATCAAAAGACAGGTCTAATGCCATTGAAACAGGTTGGTGAATGGAATTGTCTATCATCAGTAGCCCTTGGCATCTTTCTTAGGTACGCTGTGAACTTGATGGACCTGGCCCCAGTGACTCAGTAACAACACTAGCCTTGAGTTGCTCTTGTTGGACTGTATCAACCCTTACGACTCTTTCGGTCGAAGAGCCATAGTCTACACTTGAAATTATTGGGTGAAATCTGCCTTGAAATTTAATGATCATCACTTGTGAGGCTTCAAATACTAGTGACCCCTTGTTTCCGTCTGAAGTCTTTGACAACTCATCCCGCTTCTCAAAGACCCGACAATCCTACCTGTCACATAGAACCTTGGCTTTCCAGCCCTTCTTGTGACGCCTTGTCAGTCATATCCACCTCGTAAAGTCTTCCAAATGCTCAAAAGCTCGTAACAGTCCTGCCTCCACTGTATTTGAAACTTACCTTACTTAAATTCGCCCCATGAACCTCCAACAATTATACTTGCTCTATCCCATCAGCTACTAAATAGCGTCACTACATCAATCTTTCATCTTTTCCTAACGTTTCTCTATTTCGTGATCATTCATCAGTGAATATAAGGGAAATAGAGCAAAATTAGAGAACGACTGGAGATGGATGTAGTGACACTGTCTAGCAGTTAATGGGATAAAGTCTTGAAAGTTATACCCTTGTGAAATTAGTTTATCTATACCTGCCTCTTGAAGGGACCAAGAAGACTCAAAAACCATGAATTTCTCTACCCTACAAAGTCTCGATAGTCCTTCCCGCCTTGAAAAGGCATCCTGACTGCACTCCCCCTTCGGAGTTTCAAAGATTGCATCTGCCTTTAAGAGTCTTAACAGTTGTACTCGCCTTGTTTGTAAACTTTGTATAGTTGCACTCGCCTCTTCGAATCTTGAAGGTTGCACCAGCCTTTTGAACCTCTTCACAGCTGCACTCGCCTTATTTGTAAACTCCATGTTTGGACTGTTGCACCCGCCTCATGGAGTCTTCAAGGTTGCACTCGCCTTGTGAAATCTCACCAGTCCTACCCGCCTTATGAGAATTTAAGAGATCGACCTGGCCTCTTGAAGCCCTTAAACCCCCAACCCCCAATGAATCCTTTTCTCCCCTCCTCCTCCAGATTTCCTTCCCTCAGACTCTTCTCTTCCTACAACCTTCTTCCACCAAACATCTTTTTGGTGGCCATTCTTCAGTCGCCTCCCGCAATATTCAAAACCATCGCCTAGGTAAGTAAACCTTATCTCTCCCATATCATCACGATACGATTCAGAGTCTCTTCCTCTTCTGCTCCCAAAATTTTCATTTCCTCCCTGTCGGCGCCCTCTCGTTGGGCGGAGGAAAAAACCACGAACTGGTCTGCAAAAACCAGTCGTCCGCTGGTGCTTGAGCCGCTTGACTGCGAATCTTGACTGATTGTTTTACAGACTACAGCAATCTTGGCAGAAACTTCGCAAACGACACACAGTCACCACAACAGTAAGTTGGTTGCTTTATTTTTCTTCACTCATCTCAGCTTTCTCCTCGACTTGCAAATGCCGGCTCTTCTGGTCTGCTCTCGCGAGACGATACCGCTCTTTCTCCCCGACTATCGACATCGGGCTTCCCGATCCGAGGCAGCGAGCGACATCAATATTTTCTGACTCTTGCCATCCTTCTCTTCTTGAACTTCCCTCATTTCTAGTCAATTTTTCGGAGAGCAGGTGTCAGTTGCGCCTTCTATCTCAGTCTCCAAGCGAAAGTAAAGAGAGAGACAGCAAGCGGTTCCAGAAAAGACAAGCCCTCTGTACAGCTCTCCTCTAGTGTCTCACTCACTCTCAGTTTTACACTCACTTTTGAATATCATCTCTTGCCTGTATCTCCGCTAACCTCCATCAATAGTCCTCTAGAGCTCTTACTATAAGCATCAATAGCCATGGCTCCTCAGGTTATCTCCAAGCCTGCCATGGGTCCAGCTCACCGCGCTCACGCCCAGAGCAAGACTCTCATCAACAACGCCGGTGCCGCCGCTGCCGTCAGAAAGATGACTGGCCCTGCTATCCCCACCACCAAGGGATCGAACGCCTTGGTCACCGAGCCCCAGGTTGAGGAGGTCAACATGGTTCAGAAGGCCGAGAAGGCTGAGAAGGGCAAGGAGGCCGAGAAGCCTCGCTTCGACACCTTCTACCCTTTCCCCCGTCTCCCCAATGAGATCAAGGCGATGGTCCTGTCTGAGTATATCGACTTTGAGCCTTCCATCATCTACGCAAGCTGCAAGGCGAACAAGGAAGTCCCGGGCCTCATCGACGTCAACACTGGCAAGGACGGCGCTCACTCGAAGTTCAAGTGCCTCGCCCAGCTCATGAAGGGCATCCCCGGCTTCGAGGCCTACGTCGAGCGCACGATTGGTGTCTCGTTCTACGACTTGTCCTACCACCCCGAGGAAGGCGTCCGCAAGGGCAAGGATCTCATGGTTCTTGTCTTCGATAACAAGATGGGTCGCCACTTGAACTGGTACGGCGCTACTCAGCGTAAGCATAACCGCGAGTACTTCGTTCCGGGTATCGAGGACATTGGCGTCATGTACGATCATGACCGCCTCTACGGCCTGGGCTTGGGCGCTGGTCTCCAGTCGTCCTCCGTTCACCCTTGCTCCTCCCAAGATCTCAGCATGTTCGTCACCAACCTCGGTGCCGTCAAGAACTTCTACCTTCTCGTCAAGCTGCGCGGCAGTCAGGCTGAGCAGAAGAAGTGGATGAAAATTCATCTTGGTATGTACCGCCGGAGCTCCGGGGAGGATCTGCTGGTCACCCCATTATTACTCTCATTTGTACTAACAACAAGAATACAGCCATTGCGAAGCATTGCAACAAGGATCTCATGGTCTTTGAGGACAAGGATCGAACCTGGGTGGAGATCACCCAGAACAAGGCAAGACGCCAGTACGGCACCCCCGTGCAAGCTGCCGGCGACCTCCTCCGACAGGCCGATAAATTGTACCATGCAATCGGCACCATGTGTGGTGGATCCCCCAGGGTCCAGTTCCGCATTCTTGTGGCTTCGCGCTTCAAGAACAAGACGCTGGGAATCTGGGACTGAACTCCGTCACGTGCGCAAACAAGATTGCCTCAAGTGTTTTGAGGCAACGCAGTGTTTGCCACGGGGGCAGTCAAGAAGGGATACGGCAGTAGGGTCATGGCTATCATGAGAATCGGCTTTACAGATGAATAACGCAGTTCATTAACAAGGCCTCAGCTCATGTGCATTCGGTTTTGGGAGAGGGTAGGAGGCAGGAAGTGCAATTACCTTAGCTCAGAGATCCGTATCATTGCAATTCGAGGAACTCTCAGTATCCATGATACAGTCAGTGATATGGTGCCATTGATCGTCGTTCCTACATGTTCACACCGCTGCGATGGAACCCTTTTAGTTCTCATGCATGGCATTGCCTATGTCGCACTCCCCATTGCTATTACCAAGCTGTGACACGATCCACTTACTGCTGGGCATTTGAACGTGCATGAAATGAGAACTCATGACAGCTTCAGATTGACTTAGTAAAGTATCGTGGTGTGATATTCTTGAACGAAGGATCAGAGAACTCAGTGAAAGCTGAAGATGAATCAGTCCCGAAAGCAAAGTGGACCGTCGTCATGTCATTCGGGTGAGATCCGCCCGCTCGGCTCGGCTTCCGATCGGCGGACCCTCGAAAAGCGCCTTATCACGAGCAAATCCCACCGCCGTAAACGAAAAGATTTCGGCGCCGAATGCTGGTCCCGGTAGCTTCGATTTCCGGTTTAAAGCCTTGCCTTAATTGTCTTGGGGCGGCATCGGAGCATTTCGCTGGGGAAAAAGCGACTAGGGGGACTGACTAATTCCAACGGCGATATCGTTCGACGCGAACAGCGATTACTTGACAGCCAAAAACTCTGTTCCTCTCGCTCATGTTGCGCACGTCACCTCACGTGAATCCTTTTTTCTGTAAGATTGATTCTTGATTAAACAAATGATCTTGGTTTTGAACTCATTTGACTCACAAAATTGAAGCTTCCTGCCCCTTATAATGAGATTCGACCCAAGACAGAGCAACGATGACGACTTCGAACAAACGCTCAAGTAGCGAGCCGCAATGGCTCAAGACATCCGTCGATGTTCTCCAGGCGATAAAGCTGGTAAGTCCACCCCAAAGGTTCACCCTTCTTTTGTGAAGAGAACTGACCAAGTCAATACAGGCTGCGTCTCAATCGGCCCCCAAACTCCTCAGCTCATGGCTCTACGTGCCCGCAGGCATCATGGTCATGCTGGCCGCCTGCTTCGGTGTCAGCGTCTTCTTCGACGCCGTCGGTGTCTCGTTCCCTGCCTCTGTGGCCTGTTTAATTCTGCTCTTCTTCAGCCTCTTGCTGTCGGAGCTGGTATTGGGAAACCACAAGACGCGGGCGATCGTTGCGGTTATTGACGTGCCGGTAAGTTCCTGAGAGGCGATTGGCGATATTGGAAGTCTGTAGCTCATGAATCGCAGGCGGGATGGTCTCTCCGCTGGATAAACATCTTCTTCACACCGTCATTCATCATGCTACCCTTAAGTCCCTCGATAGGCATCATCGAAGTCATAAAGATCATCGCCGTCTTCAGTGAGCCCCTCATCTCGAAGCCAGTGCTTCATGAAATTTCAGAAGCTAACGCCCCTCAGTCACCGGCTTCATCGTCATGATGGCCCTCGCCGCATACCTCACCCGCGGCCTCCAACTCCTCCTCGGCTCATCCAAACGCGCAATGACCGAACGCGCAGAAGAAATGGGCAACGAGACGGACGAGATCCCCCTCGCCGACACCCCTCCGCGAATCGACTCCGTCCCGGGCTCCCGCACAATCTCCGCAGCGCCGTCCTCGCTCTCCCTCAATACTCTCGCTCCGCCACCACCCTCCCAAAACGCCTCACACAACTTCCTCCCATCAGCAACCTCTTCCCCCGCGAGGGTAACCGAGATTAACGTCGATATCCCCTCCTCCCCGCCAACACCGCCTCTCTCACCACAAGGCCCCGTCCCCCTCCCACGCTCACAGCTCTGGGCAGCCTGGATCTGCGGGCACCTCAACTGGGTCCTCTACGCCTCCATCTTCGCCTTCGTCGGTATTCCCCTCTACTATGCAACAGGCTACGCCATGCCTCTCCACCTGAGCCTCATCCTCCTCGTCTACTTCGCCGCAATGTCCGTCCCCGCCAACTGGCGACAATACCTCCACCCCGTCCTTGTCACCTCCCTCTTCTCCGTCCTCGGCATCTGGGCCCTCGCAGCGATCCGAGGCGCAGGCCTCTTTGAAACCCTCCGATCCTTCCGCACGGGAGCGAATTACACGTACCTCTGGCTTCACGCCAAGAACCCAGAGGGCCGCCTCCCCGGCGCCGGCGATATCTTTAGCACCGTCCTAGACGCGAGTATTGTTTCTCTTGCGCTGCCAATGTACCAGTACCGCCGCGAGCTGAAGCAAAACTTTGTGGCAATCGTGTTGCCCAACATTCTCATGTCGATCGGCAGTCTCTTCTCCTACCCCAAGATCTGCTTCGCCATCGGCATTAGCGCGGAGAGGTCTCTTGCGTTTGCGTCGCGGAGTTTGACGCTCGCGCTGGCGCTACCTGCAACGGAGAACCTGGGGGGTGATTTGAACACCGTGGCTGCCGTGGCTATCATGAGCGGCATTGTCGGAGTGCTGGTTGGCCAGCGGATGTTGGCCTGGTTGAAGATACCTGAAGGTGAGAGACTACGTATTGCCAGTGACGAAACGTATGAACACAGGCAGCTTACAGAATCACAGATGACTACATCACCCGCGGCGTCACACTCGGAGCCAACTCCTCAGCCATCGCCACCGCGCTCCTCTTACGAACCGATCCCCGTGCCGCGGCGCTGTCAAGCTTGTCAATGAGTCTATTCGGCACAATCACAGTCCTCTTCACATCCATTCCGCCCATCGCAAGCGTCATAAAGTCGCTGGTAACATGATCATTCAATTATGCTACAGCCACAACTTACTAGGTTTTACCCGCCCCGAGCCTCGTCTACGCCGGAATGCTAGGAGCCAACCGCCTCCAGAACTCACACCTCGCACCACGTCCGCCCTCCCACGAATCAGCAGAGACAACCTGGATATCATTCACCTGTCCCGGCGCCATAAACTGCGTGACCCGCGCCCCCCACGAAGTCGTAAACTCGTACGGCACGCCGCCCGTCTGGTTCAGATTCATCTGCTTCGGCGCCTCTGCCGTCCAGACAGGCCACTGGCTCGCCCCATTGTCAGCAGCTACGTTGGCGCTAGAAGCTTCGTTGGCGATCTCGTTGCTGATGGATGGGTCGTTGCCAATGATAAAGTTTCCCCAGATCTTACGGAAGGCGAGGACGATGTCCGGGCCTTGGTTCGGCGTCGCGGTGCCAAAGTAGCCTGGGATGTCGGCCGTGTGCCAGGCAAAGGGGACGGAGTACTGGTAGTGCCATGATGACTTTGGCGAGGTGAAGGCGTCAGAAAGCCAGTAGCTTGGGCACACGAATGTTGCCTCGGCGTAGATGTTCTGTTTTCAGCCATGTGTTAGGGCAATGATCACAGCAGATTGCCAGGGAGTGAGCCTTTATGTTTTCTTACGTTTGCTCTTTGCTGCTGTCCGGTCCCAGACTGGCTCACATCGAGAGCCGTAAGCCCCGTCAACCCATTTGTCTCGAAGCGGGTGTCGTTCGCCCCCGTCTTCGTCGGGTTCGCGGCGAGGATTTCGTCAATCTGGTCCGATGAGAGGTTGGGGAATTCGAGCTTGAGCCAGGACGTCAGGTCTGCGACGCTGACGATGTTGGGCGGGGTGAGGAGGGGTCCCTCGTTGGCGTTATGCTTGGAAATCTCGTTAGTTGCCAAGTCGACAACATACCGAAGAAAAGGGAACTTGATGAAGAGGATGCTTACACCGACGAGAAGACGCTCTCCGTTTCCTCTCTTCTGTTCCATCTGCTCAGTCGGGAGGCTCTTGATGTAGACGCCGTCCGTCACGGGGTAAAACGCCCTACCACCCAGTCAACTGCGTTCAGGAACAGGGTACACCCGTGTCTCGGCCACTTACCAGAACCCATAGGGCTGTTCAAACGTGGTATTCGCACTCGCAACCTGCAGCGTCATGCTATCCTTTCCACGAAGACACGCAAGAACATCACTAGACGACGAGCACCCCGCCTTCTCAGCAAACGCCCGATACCGTTCCGTCGGAAACGCCGCGTCGAATGCGTAGTGGAACGGAAGATACGGCGAAGCGGCAATTCCCTAGCCCCAAATCCAAGTTAGCCCAGTCGTCACCATCGCAGTCTTTCCATACCGCAGCAAGTTGGAAACTTACGTTGTTGAAGAGCGTCGTCCCAAGACTCCCGTCCACGGCGAGAGTATGATACATCACCGACCCGGCGCCAGCCGACTCTCCCGCAATCGTCACCTTTCCACGGTCCCCGCCAAACTGGCCGATGAAGCGCTGCACCCAGGCTAGAGCAAAAGCCTGGTCCAAAAGTCCCGCGTTCACGACTCCGCGGGCCTTGACGTCCGCAGAGGAAAGGAATCCCAATGCGCCGAGCTATATTTCGTCAGCACAGTCTCTCTATCATCGCATATTCCTATCCACCGCCAATTCCAAGAAGGGAACAGACAAGCCCCATCCCCAAAAAGACGAATAACAGAAGAACATACTCGGTACTGAATAACAACAGCCACAAACCCACCCCCATTCGCCCCAATAATCTCCGACATATCAATCCTCCCATCACCGTACCCGTACCCGCCACCGTGTATGTACACCAGCACCGGCAAAGTCCCCGTCGCATTGGCGGGCGCGTACACGTTTAGGAAGAGACAGTCCTCGTCGCCCGGGATGAACGGGAGACCTGGCACAGCGGGGTAGTTCTGCGGACAGATTGGGCCGTAGTCGGTCGCTGCCGTTACCCCACCGCCCGCCCCGGCCGTGTCGTTGGACGACGGGAGGCGGGGAGGTTGCCAGCGCTGTGAACCTGTCGGTGGAGCTGCGTAGCGGATTCTGAGGGGTTTGGAGATACGTTTAGCGGATACAACACGGTCAAGTTGAAGGTGTAGGAGAAAGACATATCTCACCCTTTCCAGATATTGAGACCGCTGGTGGCGTTGTTGTACCCTTCGTACTTTGCATAGCCCAGATCTATAACCAAAGAAGCAGACTGCCGTTGCTTGGGGAGAGCATCCTTCAGACCCTTTGTGTCGACGAGCAGACGATCCAAAAACGTGGCTGCCGCATCTTGGTCTTTAGATGAGGGAAAGGCGTCGGAGAAGTGAGGCGCAAGAAGGCCCGCGATGGCTAGAGGTAGAGTCCTGAAGAGGCGCATGGTGGCATGTATCCTGAGCGAGCGTGGGTGTCCGACGTGTACGAGAATGACAGAGATCGTGGACGGGACGGAAAGGAATGGATTTGTATAAGTGCGAGCAGGAACTAGGCCTTGAGCTCTTCCGCGATTCTTTCCACGTTCACATCTAGCAAATAGGTAAGCGGCAATGTGCCGTAATAGCTATTGGGCTTGACTAATAACAGCCGGGGACCATCTCGTCACGATTCAACATTTTTGAGTTTCCTTACACGCACTGACTACCTAAACTAGGAGTGTAGGACGCCACGGACGCTAGGAAAACCTGGTTTGTTAATATAAACCAATATACGTAAACCCATCCCCTGTCTTCCCCGAGGGGGTATTCTCCCCATCGATATTCGACTCAAGAGCCGAGTCAATCCGTGGCACGGTCCTAGGTGCGGATAGGGGGGTATTCCCAGGTTCTTTTCGGTCCGTGCCATGATTCCATGAATCGATTCAAGCTTGTCTGCTGTTTGCTGGACGGTGATGCGACGAACGGCGGGGGAGCCACTGGGGAAGGGTATGTCAGCGTCACATCGGGTCGTGGTTTGGACCTCGCCGGAGAAGGGGGGACTTCCAATCCGTAGAAACCGAGCTGTGGGAATGCGCAATACGAGGGGCAAACGCGAGATTCGTAGAGCGATTGATTGATAATAGGGCAAGGTAAATCGAGGAGATGTCATAAGCAGATGGGATATCTTGCCTACGAAATGACCGTCAACAAAGGAGAACTCGCCCTCTGAGGTGGGCCATTGAGTCTCGTAAAGCTCAGCACCATAGCATCGCGTGAAAACACACAGAACGCCAAACCCCCGCGAAAAGAGAACGGAAGCAAAAAGGCACCGGCTGTCCATGGCTGTTATCCATAGACGTTGATTATATCATCGAAGCCCAAATTCTCAACAGCCCACAAACCCAAGCCAGCTCTATATGATTATGGGGCTCTCTTAACGATTAGAGTTCTCTCTACCTCAATCTTCATTCTCCACACAAAAAGAACCCGAAAAAATATCAACCTCCCTTCGTCCGAACATCTGCGGTAGACGCCACGCGCGATCAACCGCGGAGCCAAAAGTCCCAATATTCTTCCCGTACACTTGGCAATTCCTCCCATTCCGCCTCCACTCCTCTTACGCACGTCAGAGAATGTATCTCTTCTTCATGTCCGAGACCGCCCAATGGTCCTCCGCCAGACGCCGGCCAGGGGCGGGGGAAGCGGGGCGATCTCGCCGGCCCCGACGCCGTTTCCGCGGGGTTAGCAATGGAACTTTTCTGCGCCACCGGGTCGGGACCGAGTGACAAGCCACATTGCCTGGGTAAACCACAATAATCACCGCTCGCCAAAAGAAAAGGATGCCACGAAGGTGTTGCGGGCTTTCCGTGTGCTGCTTTCCTCGAATCGCCGACGCCGGTGCTCCTGAATCAGCATCACGGCAATATTGGACTCCTATGAAAGCATTAATCACCATCATCACACATACCACAAGTTATGATCAGAAGCTCGCATTGTCTTTGTCGAAACTAGGTCGTCCGTATCCAGCCAAATCAAATCCCTTCCCAGCACAAACGTATCCGTCCAAATCATGCAGGCGGAGACTCTAGCCCACAGTTTTTCTTCCCAAGTTATTTCCCAACGTCATGAACCGTATATAATCATCCGCATACCTCTTCTTCGCCTACTTGATCAAATGAGAAAAGAAATTGGGGTGCCTTATTTCCGCTCCTCAAAGTAGAACTTGCCGAGCTTATCGCCGCCACCCTGGGGGCTACCAAGCGCGGTGTTACCTACGCACGCCTCGCCCCCATCAAGTCGCTCCCTAAGAAGACGCTCTGCGGTATCACGAGCTGTTGGCGTCGTGGCGGGGTTAGCTTGTGCAGGTTGTTGGGGGAGCTGGGAAGCAGGGACAGGTGGCTTGTTGGTGGTGTCGACGTACATTTCGTCGCTGGGTACACCGGCGCCATCATTGGTCGTACCATCCATCATCCGCGCATCCCGTCGTTCCTGCATTGCGGCCGCGCTGGTGGGAGTATCACCGCCCATTGTGACGTCGCGGGCCCGCTGCGTCGGCATGCCATCACTGAGCCCAGAACCACTTCGCTCCAGACCCCAAATACCGGCCTGGCCAGCAACTCCAGGAATGGGGCGACGCTGGTAGATTGGACCAGACACAGTACTATTGGCGCCCTCGCCAAAGCCAACGAGGCTAGCAGATCCGTCATCGCTCATGCGGTCGTCGTAACCTGCGGTAGACCCCGCCGTGTGGTCCTCGTCCATGCGCTCAGGCTCGGCGCCCATGCTGGTAACCGAGTCGGCCTCGCGGTAGTTGGTATCCATGCTGAACATATCCTCGTCCTGCTCGCCAGGTGCGGTGCGCGTCTCGTTGTCGTCGCCGACATAGCTCTCGGTTGCGCTAGCGGTACCGACAGTGCTCATCTTAGTAACTGCGGTGGGCTGGCCTTGGGCATCAAAGTATGCGGGCGTGAGGTGCGTGTTGGGCGGGTAGTTGGCAGGAAAGCCGGTGGAGGTGGGAGTCGTCTGGGGAGAGATGGAGGAACCGGCATTCTGCTGGTGCGGCGGGGCACGCAGAGTCGAGACTCGCTCTAGACCGGCGAGACGGGAGATTCTGTCGGCGCGCTCAGCCTCGAGGCTGGTTGTAGAGGGGTGATGGGCGTGGCCGCGGACACCAGCGGGACCCTGGGGGAAGTGGCCTCGGTGACCATCTTTAATAGCTGTGGTCGAGAGGGCAGAGAGGGAGGTGGTGGCGCTCGTGGGGGTGCCGCTGCGTCGGGAGATATTAGCTTGAGAAGCAAGTGGAAGAGGGGAGACGAGACAGCGTACGGCATCTCAGATGGGGTATCCGGGTTGGAGGTGGGAGGAGGGAGGTTGATGAAGGTGGGACGCGGTGCTTGCGCCATGGCTGCTAGTAGTGACGTTGTTGTCTAGAATGAAGCGAAGAGGTGTCGATGAGGTCGATAGCAGAAGCCGTCGACAATGTATATGTGTGGATGTTCGGACCGAGATGAGGTCGTAACCGGGTGCTCGTAGGCGGTAGATGCGCGTCGAGTAGAGATGAGTTGGGGTGGCCTCGTGGTAGACGGTAGGTGAACGGCGGCAGGTATCAGGTATTGTCGTCGGATATGCAGCTGGGCGTTCGGTACCTCTAGAGCTAGACGATGGAGGTGGAATGGGATCTAGCACGGTGTCGAATGGGTATCGCAAAGGGAGCAATTCGCATGTGCTCTTCTGGTCGTCGTGTGAAGATGAAAGGGTAACGAGGTGTGGCCGAAATTTGCAGAGATGCAGGTTGGGGGACTAAAGCCAAGTGACTGGATGGTGAACGTTCGCGTCAGACAGGGAGGCAGTGAGGTCGGTCCCCTGAAGTCATGAAAGTGAAGCGTCCAGTCCTACCTGAGGTATCCGTACCGAATGGGAAAGCAAGGCAAGCGCTGGGCGTGGGTGGGTACCTTCCTCGAAGAAGCTACCAAAGGTACGTATTCGTATGATAATATCTATCTACAGGTACCTAGACAGCGGGAGGCAGAGCAGGGCAGGAGCAGCAGTACGGAGTAGGTAGCAGAAAGAGCAGGAGCAAGGCGGGGGAGGGGAAGAGCACGCAGCAGGGCAGGCGGGGGGCCAACGACGGGGACGGGAAACGGGGATGGTGACGGAGCGTCTGGTGGCCCCTTCTGGTGCATGCTGGAGGCAGTGAAGGGCAAGGCAAGAGCACTGAGCAGGTGCCTTCCTCCCTGGACCTGCCCGTGTGCCAATGACGTAGACCCCGGTACCTTGTGTGCCCCGCTTACATCACCAGGAGCAGTCACCTTTTACTGGCTGTGATTGGCTCATTTGTCGTTAGTTCTGATCGGACCCCACCTATCTTGGACCCTTCAAGCTGGGAAAAAGGTACAACGCACATGTATCCTTCGGTGAGGGACCCTGATTTCACTGCTTCTCCTCGCCGTCCCTGCATTTCCCTCCCATTGCGTGGGTTTGTTCCGTATGACATTCACTTCCATTTCCCATTCGGCTAATCCCTGTATAATGATGGCATTTCATTCCAAGCGACAGTCTGTGTGTTACTTGTGTATAGCACATGCGAGCTGATACCAGGGCTACGAGACAGGGTACTGCCCCCAGCCTGTTCATCTCACGAGTTATGACTACAACCAAAAGACCTCAGAAAACACCCGGGGTAAAATCAGTCACCCTCGCCTTGATGATAGCCGACCCAACCTGCTTCATAAACGCCTGATGCGCAGGGTCCTTGGCGAGGTAATAATCACGGTCCTCAACACTCTCAAACTCGGCTACAAAAATGTGCGTGATGCCGTCCTGCAGGCCCTCGGGGCTACAGTCGAGCCCGCCGACAAGAGACTTGATGTACGACTTGTTGGACGTCGGATGGATGCAGTTATCTTTGAGCGCCAGCATGGATTCGCACATCTGTGTCTAGCGTTAGCCTGCTTTTCATTTTCTCACTCCAAGCTATCTGACAACGGGCCCGCCGGGTTGTAGACAAGCGTACCGTCTTCACCTCCTCCGCTGGAATAAGCTCCTTGAACTGGAACTGGACAACGTGGATGATAGTCATTCTCGATATACCCAGTGAAATAGTGGAGTAAGAAGGGTTGAAGTTGAGATAAGGTAGAATCGAGCGGCCTCGTGTTGTTGATCAGTTGTTTTGAGTCCGTCGGATTCGCTTTGCTGCCCCTCCTCTTCCCGGACGGACGTTCCCCCCGCCTCTGTTCAACGCAGGCGGAGTACGGAACGACGGGACATCGCCGTCTCATCCGTCATCGTCCCGTCTTGAATGCGGGGTGAACACAACACAACCACTCGACGGTCTTCAATTGACCAACATCCACGCTTAATGGCATAAGTATTCTGTAAACAACTATCGGGGATCGGTATTCTCTGTTTCTGCACATCGTTGTCCTACATCCACCTATCTTTAGTGCTTCTGAAAGCGTCAACTCTTGACGGATATACTGATGGCGAGTGTCGCTAGGTCTCATGCCCGACAATGGCGAGAATCCTATCTACCCTTGAAGAAGTTATGGACAAGCATCAATTGAGTCTGCACTGGACGCCGCGAGATCACTCCAAATTGGCGCTGATGATGTTTTCATCTTTTATCGTACTTTTCTGTAAATGAATTCGTGCCATGTCGACTAGGACTATCAGCCTAACTTGCAAACAATTGGGTGACATGCCGGAAACTGAAGTGAGAAGTATGCCGAACGGTCTTTCGGACTTTCAAGTCTAGACCCCATTATACAACTGGGTCGGTTCTATCGGTAAAGTAAAACGCATCGCCACCTCTTTGCAACAGTCGATTCATAAGTATGAGGCCGAAAGAGGCTGTGTGACGGGAAGCCGCGGACTGGGTTCAAATACCGTTCTTCACTCACAATTCTGAGCGCCAAGAGTCTTCCAAGAGAGGGCCTACTCGATAGATCCGAGTGCTTGGTATATTCTGCGTGGGCTAACGTTAATAGCGGACCCCGCAGAGTCTGACAACATCCCACCGGATGCCGGAACGTTCAACATGAAAGTCGGGACGGTCATCTTGGCGTCTGCTTTGACTCTGGGACGAGTGAGCAACGGGTGCCCAAGATGGCGGTGGTGATCTGTTCGATATTTTTGAACATTTGAATGAGATGTATAATCAGGATCAGTTTATAAAAGCACTCAGGGTCGTCGCTTTCTTGTGCAGTCTTTCAATCTTCTTACACAACACTTCTCCAACTGCAAATAAATACACTCCTCCATTGACCACATTACGAAGATAGACTTGTGCTATCCAATAACATCACAGCAACATCATAGTCATGAAGCCAACCCAGAGATCATCAGAAGGCATAACATGGCGCAAGAACAAACCCCTCGAAAAGGGCCTAGCAACAGAGGCCGTAGTCACCAGCTCGCCCAACATCGCAGATGAATACGACGTCATTGTAATCGGCGCCAGATTCGCAGGTCTCGTAGCAGCCAGAGACTTGAGCAGCACAGCTTCAACCTTGCTCGTCGAAGCTCGAGATCGCATCGGAGGCAGAACGTGGGTTGCCAGGGTAGACGGGGAAGATGTCGAGATGGGAGGGCAATTCGTGCATTGGTACGTTTGATTCACTTGCATACTTTAACAGACTCAAGGTTATTAACATTGTAAAAATAGGCACTAACCGCATCTATACAACGAAATCATCCGCTACGGAAAACAAAAGGACATCATCTCCCTTCCATCCCCAACCGGCCCAGCAGACTACCACTTCACCACCAACAACCAAACCACCACCCTCAACCCCCCAACCACCGCCCAAAAACTAGACAAATTCTACAAGGACTTTATATCAGTCAACGACACAACCCCAGAAGCCTTCCTCCACCCCCCCTTCGGGAACCTCGGCGACGCAAGCTTCATCGCAGCATACGACCACCTAACCGCCGCACAACGCCTAGACCAAATGGACGTCTCCCCACAAGACCGACCCCTCTTCGAAGCCGCGCTGCAAATGTTTGGGCTTGCCAGGCCCGAGGAGACGGGGTTCCTAAATGTTGCTCGGTACATCGCAAGCAACGACTCCGGCACAAAGCTTCTAGAAAAGGGCGGGACGTATTCCCTCGGCGGAGGGGGCACCACCGCCCTGGCAAGATCCATCCTCGCGGACTTCACGGGCGACGTCCTCTTCCGGTCGCCGGTGGTGGGCATCTCGCAGGACGGCGACGACGGTCGGGTTCGGGTTACGATGCGAGATGGGAGGACGGCGTCGGCGCGGTACGTCGTGAATACCATGCCCCTCAACGTCCTCTCCACCATCACCTTCTCGCCGCCTCTCTCGGGTTTTGGGAGAGAGGTCGTGGAGAGGGGACACGGAGGACGCGGGGTAAAAGTAATTCTCGCGCTCGAAGATGGGAGCGTCCCGCGTCCTTTCTTCGCGAGCGCTGCTACCTCCGCTACCACGTCCTCCTCGGGGTGCGACTTCGTAGCTAGTTTCCCCAAGGCGGTATCCCCCACAGACGGAAGCATCTCCCGCACCGTCGGATTCCTGACCGACCTGACGACTGAGGCCTCCTCTGGGAAGATACTTCGTTCGTACGAGACTTTTGGTTCCGGGGGGCTAAAGTCGAAGGGTACTCTGTTCACGATGGGCGGTCTGATCCGTTTGCGAGGGGCACGTGGGCTTGTTTCTCTGCTGGGTTCGAGGATGGCAAGTACTGGGATGAGTTGAGGAGGGGTCATGGGAAGGGGGTGATGGCGAGCGGGGACTGGGCGGTGGGATGGTGGGGGTTTATTGATGGGGCTGTTGAGCAGGGGGTAATTGCTGCGCAGAGGGTGAAGGGGCTTCTTAGGGATGTGAAGGTGTAGGTGCTTTGGTTTGTTTGCTGATTAATAGTGTGAAGTAGAACGTAGGGTACATGTCGTGGCGATGGTCCCCGAGTTAGACGGGAGCTTGGATAAGTAAGTAGGAAGTATTAACAGGGTCAACTCCACCGGAGTATACTTGGATATTCGTTCTCGAAACTGGCAAGAGGGTCAGGAATGCCAGAGATCGAAAGGTTTCCGAGGAAATCACGCTTTCATTGAATATTGTTTTTGAAATGATAAGTTTGCATTCTTTTATGGAATCCTCTACTTCCATCATCATCCTCTCTTCCTCATGACAAACCACAGTCCGTGGTTTCCCCCTACTTTTTCACCTGTGGAATTACTACAAATGTATTCTGCTCGTCTTCAGAGAGCCCATGATACAAAGGAAATGTTGTTTAATATGTGTTATGCCGTCTTGTCGCTTGCCACTTCAGGGCCCAGACTACAAGAACACAACCATGCCAACAGCAACCGCAGCAAGAACGCTCATCAACGGGAAAACGTTCACAGCCATCAGAGCGGGCTCGCCGGCCGTAACCACAGCGGTAGGAGACGTGGTGCCGGGACGGGTGCCGCTGACAGTGGTGGGAACAGCGGGCGTAGTCACGGGAGAGCTGCCGGCGGGCGGGTTGGTGGGAGGCTTGGTGGGGTTTGAGGTAGGGTTGGAGGCGGGAGGGTTCGCGGGAGGCTGCGCAGGAGGGTTGGCAGGGGGGTTGGAAGGAGGGTTGGAGGGAGGGTTAGAAGGCGGGTTGGAAGGCGGGTTTGAAGGCGGGTTGGAAGGCGGGTTGGAAGGCGGGTTGGAAGGCGGGTTGGAAGGCGGGTTGGCGGGAGGGTTGGCGGGAGGGTTAGCAGGAGGCTGCGAGGGAGGGTTGGAGGGGTTCGCAGGAGGACTGCTAGGGTTGCTAGGCGGGCTGGAAGGGTTGGTCGGAGGGTTGCTGGGGTTGCTGGGAGGGTTCGGCGGGTTCGTAGGCGGGTTGCTGGGGTTCGTAGGCGGGTTCACAGGGGGCGAAGCCGGGTTGGAAGGCAGCGTGACCATGGTAGAGCCACCAGGACCAGTAGGGGTGGGAGTTCCCTGGCGGGTAAAGGACGAGGTGGTGGTCGTGGTGACGGTGCTGCAGACGGCGTTGTTGCAAGTAGTGTACGTCTTTGTGAGGGTTGAGCAGTCGGTGTAGAAGGGGGGGATGTCGGAGGTCATCGTGGCGGGGGTGTCCTTTGTGCGGGTGTAGGTTGAGCAAGTTCCATTGTAGTCGCAGCGGGTGATGGTCGTCAGAGTCGGAGGGGTAACGACGGGGGGAAGGGGGTAAGTGATTGTCGTGACGGGGCGGCAGTAGCCGTTGTAGCAGGAGGTGATTGTCACGCAAGGGGGCAAAGTGATGACATTGCAGGTGCCGTTGTAGTTGCAAGTGGTGGTGGTCACCGGGGAAGGGATGGTGATGGGGGCGGTGCCGTTGGGGAAGACGGGAGGGGTGGTGACGATGGGCCCAGTAGTGGGATCGACCGGGATGGGAACAACGATGGTGCTGTTGTTGGGAAGGGTCACGGTCGAGCTGGTGAAGGTAGGGAGAACGCCGGGATCCGTAGTGTTGAGGGCCGAGGTGGTCAGGACGGTAGAGGTAACAACATCGGTAGAAGTCGTGGTTGTAGCAGTGCCGGGGTCCGAAGAGGTCGAGTCGGTCGAAGTCGAGACGGAGGTCTCGGTGGTGCTCGGAACGGTGCTGGCTCCGCTGCTGAGGGTGGAGTCGGTGGTGACCGAGGTGCTCGTGGGAGCAATGACCGTGACGGTAGAGCTGCCAACGCTGGTCACGATGGAGGTGTCGGTGGACGCCGTGCTGCTGCTGCTGGACGAGGCGGCAGTCGAGGTCGTCAGAGTGGTGGTGGTGCCGCCGCCGGTGACCGTGGTCGTGGGATTAGCCACGGTGACCGTGGTGCTGGGCGTCACGGTAGTAGTCGGAGCGACGACGGTGGTCGAGGTGGTTGACTGGCCGTTGACACCGGCTAAGAGTGCGGCGCCCGCGGCGAGGCGGATTATGGCGGGAGAAACCATCTTGATGGTTTATGGATGTAAGCGAGAGTGGTGGTTGGTTGTGCTTGACTAGACTCTTGAGCTAGAGAAAACGAAAGACGAAAGCGAATGTCGAAGCAGAAGCTCGGAGAAGAGAGGAGTGAGTGATGGAGATGTGATTGCTGTGATGAGGATAAGAAGAAAGGACTGATATTGGCTGGGTCCAAGGAGGCTTGATATAGCCGTTGATCGTGTAGTGAAGGTCTGCCCATCCTCGAGTGAACATTACCGAGAACGGCGGTGGGACCATGCAGGAACAGTTCGTGAGCCCCATCTAGAGTGAACATCATCGGTCAAGAGCATCGTGAAAATTTTGAGATATCGGAGATGGCTGCATGCGGCAAAAGAAGCTGTGAGCCCCGCGTGCGCTCTGCCAGTTCGGACCGTTTGGGCGTACGCCATAGTGGACAGTTGGGGTTGGCAGTTGGACGGATGTAGTAAGAAGAAGAGGTATTTTTGGGATAAACCTGTAAGCGAGCATGGTTAACACGCGGGTCGCCAAGGGAAAAGAGTTGGACCGGGCGAGGTACGGAACCAGGGGAGAACAGTATTTCGTCGGATCCGGATAGATCAGAGGCAAGCGTGGTGAGGTAGTCTTTAGAGTGAGACATCGCGCGATGGGGCTTGTGGGTATCTTCGGGTGTGAGGAATGTTGGTGATCGCTGCGAATCTGTCCGAGGGTGGGCTTGCGATTCAGAGTGAGACAAGAATGGCGAGGGGAAGCGGAATACGACTGCAATCCAGGGCAACGAGAGGGCCAAGCCAGCGTATCCGTACGGCCCGGATCATGTCTCTTCGGCGCCGAAGACAGCCTTGCTCGTTTCCAAGCCCTATGAGAACGTCATCGACGCTGTCTTGCCGCGAGACAGCCGGTTCCCGAAGTTCGGTGGGTTCAGCATTCCAGCCTGGTCGCGGGATGGCTGTCCATGAGGGATGGGAGGAATTGTTCAGTCGTCAACTGCCGCTCATGGTATCCTCAAGATAATGCTGGTGGATTCCTCCGTGCGTGTCGTAGGCTATAAGCTGACATCGCAAAGCCCTAAAGACATAGTTAGAATCTTCTTCTTTGGCCAATGATTAGACTTATTGCCTTCGGCACCCGGCTCCGAACTCAATTCATGGAAAACCTCTCGTCTGTTGAGTGAATACGAGGAGAAAATGTCTTGTTCAAGGCCGCAAACGGCAGGTTGTCGATGAAAATCATGAAAGTTCTTCCGGAGCTTGACCGTACTGAGATAAACGCGCTTTCGGTCCTTTGACACCGCATCCACTCTCGCGATCTGCTGCACCCCCATCTCCCCACGTGTGGGTGGGAACGGGAGATGAGTTGGTTGCGCGATGTTGAGAGAAGCCACAGAGCGTGTTATTGAGTCCCGTGGCGGAGTCAAGTAGGGAAACCAGTTGGACCCGGCTGAAGGGGCAGTGGCTTGCGCCGTGATCGGTCGTGTCGACTGGTGAACCGTAAACGAAGTATCTGAGACATCAACTCGTGTTGTTGGAATGTTGCCGATTGAGGACGAAGATCTTGGATTGTGAAGTTGCGTGCCGCTGGCCCAGTTGTCGGGGAAAGTGTGGTACGATGAACCTCAGAAACCAATTCTGGTTGCTAAATGCCAGATGAGTGCGTTGTCGGTGCCATCTCTGAGAGAACCTGGCAACTGCCGAGGTGTAGGTTTGTAAACCGGCTGAGTAGATGGCCTAGCCTGACCGGTGTCCTACCTCATATGCAATTGTTAGCAACCAGGAGGAGGATTGAACATCGAGCTAAGCAGAAGACTTGAAAAGATGATGGACGTGAGGTATGAAGTGATAAATGTGAACCATGTATTTATCTAGATTCCTGGACTGAGTTCTGCGTCCATGCAAAACGCCCCGACAAATGAAAAGATATCCAACCTGATCTATTCATACATGACGTAATAGTCTTTCTTGATCATCCACTGCTCATCCCAACAATGCTGATTACAACTTCATGCCAAGTGCCTTGTGCACACGCATGCTCTGCCGGATGCTCAAGTCGAGCATAATCTCCTCACTGCCACCGGGAATGGCGTACGCGCGGACGTCGCGGTACAGTCTTTCGACCTTACCACCCTGCCCACCGCGAGAGTACGATAGACCACCAAAAATCTGCGACGCCTCACGAGCGCAGAACTCAAAGGTGACAGTGCTCTGGGCCTTGAGGCCGGCAATGGCACCACCAAGCTTGAGCATAGCCTCGGTCTCGCCCATCTTCTGACACTGGAAGATGAGGTTCTCGAGCCACGCGTACGAAGCCTCAATCTGGCGGGCCATGTGCGCAAGCTTGAGACGAATGACGGGGTGCTCGTAGAGCTTCTTGCCAAACGTGCGACGCTTGTTGGCGTACTTGACGGACTCCTCGTAGCATACACGAGAGAAGCGCAGGCACTGGATGATGATACCGATACGCTCGTGGTTGAAGTTGGTCATGATGACTGGAGCATGTTAGTATGGGGATTCGGGAAGATATCAAGGGATGACCACATACCTCTGAAGCCCTGGTTCTTCTTGCCGAGCAAGTTCTCAACAGGCACCTTGACATCCTCAAAGGTGATGTAGGTGGTACCGCTGGACCAGACACCCTGGCAGTCCATGCGTCTTGTCGTGACACCAGCTCCTCTCTCGATAAGCAGCAAGCTGACACCGTTCATGCCCTCGCCACCTGTGCGGACGGCGGTGGTGAAGTAATCACACCAGATACCGTTAGTAATCCACTTCTTCTCGCCGTTGACGATGAAGTGCTTTCCATCCTCGCTAAGCTTAGCCTCGCAGGTCAGGTTGGCAACATCAGAGCCGGCATCGGGCTCAGTGATAGCCAAGCAGATACGCTTATCACCGTTGAGAATGCCGGGCAGAATACGGTCAACAAGAGCCTTCTGCCCAAACTTGACAAGGGGCGGGCAGCCAATGCCGAAACCGCCGATGACGTTCCAGACAAAGCCACCTGATGCTGCGCGGGACAGCTCGTCGGTCAAAAGCATCTCGTGGAAGAGATCCCAGTTCTCGGGAGCCACCGACGCAACGGTGTTGTTGGTGTACTGTGTAGGGTAGTGGACACCGAGCAGACCGGCAAGGTAGCCGCGCTCACCCATCTGCTTGTAGATCGCAGGGTCAACCTCCTTCTTCTCGTCCCACTCACCAACGAAGGGCTCGACAGCTGTCTCAACCCATTCGCGAATCTCGGTGCGGAGGGCAGCGTGCGTCTCGTTGTAGTAGGGAGTGTGATACTGCAGGTAACATGTTAGTGAATGCTGAGCGCCAGAGAATAATTGGCAATTGAACTTACGGCCTGGTACCAATTGGGGTCGGCGTAGGGAACCAAGTCGCCAAAGGGATCCATGGGCTCGGACTCTTCCGTGCTGCTGGCAACGACCTTTGCAGGGGCGGCCTTCTTGGGCACGGGGGCAGCGGCAGCGGGTGCGGCTTCGACGGGCTTAGGCTTGGAGTCGAGGGAGCCGACGTGCAGCTTGGCCTTGTACTTCTTCAGGATACTCTCGTTGTGGTACTTCCAGAACTGCTTGGAGGCGTCCTTTCCGGCAACGCGCTGGAGGATCTTCTTGCCACCTGGGGAAGTCAGTTAAAGGCATACTTCAGGTGGTTTGCCAAGCAGGTGCGGAGGTCGAAACAAAAAGGATGGCGGTGCTGAACATACCAGGGTGGTCATCCTGGAACTTTGTGAGGTCGTAGACGTCGCCGTCGACGATGATGAACAAGTCGTCAGGCTTGTTGTGCGACGCAACGTCGCCAGTGGTGAAAGTCTTGGACATTGTGACCGGTGATGCTCTGTCGTATGATGCTGTGGAGTATGTGGGTGCTAGCTTCCGCAGACTCTCGTCGGATGGGTAATCGTCGTTTGACTGGGGATGACAGGAGAGATAAATAAGGGGAGATCAGGGCGAAGGAGGACGAGAGGGGATAACAATGTTTAAAGAAGTCTTGCCGGAAGAGGATGTGTCTGGGGAAAAGGTGTCAAAGAAACGAGTCGCGACGGCCAAGGTCGGCAAATGGGCCGTCCAGCTCAAGCGCAGGCCAGACACAATCACATGCTTGCGGATGCGGGAAGGTAAGCCCAAGGTAAAATGGGAGGCACCTGCCCTTTGGTTCTGGAAGAGGGTTACCTTGGACCTGCTTGACCCAGGAGGGTTTAGGTACATCCAGGTTGGCTGGGGAAAGGTACCACTTCCCGCCTCAGGGGTGAAGCTGAGGTGCATGTGGCCAGGAAAGGTACCTCTTGTCCGTCATCTTGCACGTTTGACCCAGGGGATGCGTGTGCGGACACAGCCGCAGCCTCAGTGCAGCACCACGAGACATGAAAGTACCTCTGCACCGAGGCATTGCAATAGGTCTACCTGGATGTCAATCCATTACCGGCACATTGTGTCTCGTGCAGCGGTGCTCCAGGCTCGCGAGGCCATTCAATGCCATCATCATCCATTTGTGTTTGGTGGCCTTGAGATTCCCCAAGTTCCCCCACACTCGAGGGCCGCGGACAGAGATACGAATCAAATCAAAAAAGAAAAAAAAAAAAAAAAGCATGCGGAATTCGGGGACGGCCAATTGTGTGGGGAAATCTGCAGCACCAGCATCAGTCACTGAAATTGCAGCCGACGCGACTGGCCATGGCTGAAATCAACCACAATCAAGTGCCACTGGATTGGCTCGGAGGTTGGCGAACGGGAAACAGTGAGCTTGGGGAGCCGTCGCACTAGTCCCCATCGGCGACATCCAGGTGCGCTAATCCGTGTCATGTGGTCTTGTGCAGCCTCTCCCCAGTTCCAGTGTGCGCGCCGTCCATTGTCTTTTTTTGCCTGGCGCATGTGTGTCTTTGGCCTGGAATACCCGTAAAGAAGCTTAGAAGAATGCGACTGGTGCTTAAACTGCAGCAGTCTGCAGCCGTGTGTTTGGAGCGATTCCATCTCCTTTGCGCAACATGTGATTCCCAGATTCTGTTTCGGACGTCG